CCTAGCGTCAGAAACAGGCCTGAGAGGGAAAGGAAAAATTAACTGAAGGCTCTTTCTCTATTTCCTTCTCACAGTTGATTAACCAAAATAAATGGTAGGAAATGGACTTCCACCCTTAAAATGCAATTAACTGTTTCTGCTTGCATGTGGATGCTCTCAGGATGCTGGGAGGCTTGGAGGTGTGTGCAGTCCCTTGTGCTGACAAGTTGCTCTAAGGCACTCTGGAGGATCTCATAAGTGATGTATAGCCCCTGAGCAAGTGGTTGCAGCCTGCCAAGAGCACAAGAGATTTGGTTTTACTGAAAAATGCAAATAGTATTATGTTCATCTTACCTCTCTTATCATCCAGCATGTTCACGTCTGGGGTACCACAAGTGCATGTTCTTATCACTGCAGTCCCTTTGCAGCCACTTACAGAAATTCCTATTTCAACGTTGCTCTTGCTGAAAGCTTACTGAAAGTTAGGTGGATAATTGGCACCAGGCTTCTTTTGAGGTTCCTTCCTTGCTGATTGTAAAAGGGGTGAACTGAAACAGAGAGGAATTTTTATGCTTCACCTCTCCTCATCTAGGCAGCCCCCAAATAGCACAACATGCCTGATTTGGTACCACTGCTACTCTTCCAGCATGTGTTGTGATGCTCCTCTGACTTGCATGTCAGGCAGCCAGAGGAGTTGCTGGTTTTCATCTTCTACCTCCAGCCTATCCCTCCCAGCTTCTGAGTGACGTGGGCTGCTTAGCAGGCTGCTGACAAGTATCAAATCTGATTTGGGGCACTGCTCCATGTTCAAGCAACAAAGCTTACAAATTAAGCCTCCTGTCTTGGCCAATTTTGTTTCTCCACCTGGAGAATTCATTTTGGCCTGTGAGTAACTCAGTCAAACATCTGCAGTCCTGGCTGGTTCCTTCACCAGCAGCTCACCCACTTGAATTATCTGGCTCGTCTCCATTCTTGAGGGCTGCATTTCTCCAGGCGGGACTATGTCCCTAGATGTCATGTGCCATCCAGGCTCAACTTTACTCATTCCTTTGACGTACTTGTACTGGACATGAAGCCAATCCTAAAACTGATTGGTTTTTTTCATTTTAGACTTAAAATTCTAGAAGTTCTTTACAGCTGCTTTCCAGGAGTCCCTGGTGGAGTCCTTCTGAGATCTGTGCTTCTTTCTGCTCACTCTGAACAGTGCTTTAGATTCAGTAGATGAAGGCTGTTCTCCCATTTTAAGATCTGAGATTTCATGAGATCATGTGTAGCTCAGTGGTATTATTCTGAAGGAGGAGCTAATTTCCTATGTTGTTATTATGAATCGCTAATCATCAGCACTATTAGTGGTAGCAATGACAGTGATGCTATATGATCTCTCTCTGCCTCTTCCCCGTGAGTGGGAAGCATTTATGTCTGCTTTCTAAGCAGAAAACCTGAATTGCAGAGGTTTAATGTTGTGATTAGTCTTGCAGCAGGCCTGCTGTTGCTGGCCCTGGGAGTGTGTCATGAAACCCAAGACCAGGAGGTACATTACATGATGCTCCATCTCAGCTCTCTGCTGTCATACAGGAAAGTTAATCAGAGACTCAGGGCACGAAGGTTGTGGTTTGTTTATTTTTTTCCTTTTTGGTTGCTGTGACAGTATTTTTAATTTAAGACCAGCATGGATAAAGTACTTGTAAGAATTTCATTGGTTTATAATCTTTTACTGAACCTGGTGGTTACTCATAAGTTGACCTTGTCTCTTTTGTGGCTGGGGGGTGTGTCTTGAATTTCCCTGAAGTGGCTATTCCAGGGCATATTTACACGAAGATTTATTTTACTTTTCCACCCACCAAGGTGATAAGCAACAATCACCCATTTTCCTGGTGACTTTAAGCAGCGACCACTCTTGAGAAGAAAAATGTGACACATTGAGCTTGACTGGACGGCATGTGGTTTCCATGATGAATGTCCTTTCTTTGATTTCTGTTTGTTCCTGCTGTCTCTACAGAATCAGTTATTCACAACTGTCATGTTGTAACTAAAATGCGTTGTAGTTATCTACCCAGGCAAGTCTCGGCTTCCTCCAAAGAAGCGTCTCCTGTTGCTGTGCTGTGTGTAGGAGTACTGACCTTTCAGTTTTCCTCTTAATGCCTATCTGGACAGTGCTGAAAGATGAATATTTTGGAAGGCTTTTGTGGCACATGGTGGTTGACGAGAGTCAAGGATGAGAATGGGTGAATGTTACTGCTCGTTCCAGAATTGGCCAAAGCATGGAGGACCAGCTATGAAGAAAGTGCTGGAGGTAAAGCTGGGCAGGAGGCAGCATATTTCCTGCTCAGGTTTCCTTTCTGGTGATTTTTGAGATTTTTGCAAGTCAGTAGCATAAATAGCAATTATGCTGAATAAAAGAGGAAACTTATTTACTGCTACCAAACATTCCTATGGGACTTTCTGTGTTTTCATTTAGAACTGGCAGGAAAACTTTAGCTGAAATATTTTTAGATGAAATATGGCATTTTGATATAATTTCCCCTCTTTTTATTTGAATATGTTCTGAAATTTTATTGAAAAGCTCTCAAACAGAAATTCTGGGAGTTTTCCAGTTGCTGCAAATGGGGAATATTTCAGTTCCTGAATGGTGGTGATGAATGTAGTGGAAGAGACACATACTTTTATTAATACATTTCATAAAGAAAAACACAGTCTTTTGACACGTTCCAGCTTCATCAAACCTCTCCTATCTCCTGGAGATAGGAGAAAGAGCAAGTGATGCATTCCTCCGTCAGGAAGACCATACATCAAGACCCTCCAGTCTTCAATCCGGATGATTTTGCTAGAGCTCTGTAGCACTCAGAAGGCATTCAGTGAGACCCAAGGTACTGTCTTCTCCTGGAAGTTACCTTCCTACCTTCAACGGCAGTGCCAAACCTGCCAGCTCGAGGGAACAGAAGGGTGCAGGTGGCTTTAACCTCAGCAATATTCCTTACTGGTGTCTTGTGAAAAGCGTGCATGGCTGTACAGAAACTATGGAAGGTTGGCAACTTAGCACAGTTTATCCCTCATTTTTTTCCATGTTTAAGTTGAGATTAAAGGGACAAGTCCTAGGTAGCTTTTACTTTCCTTAGGCCAGATAGGAGCTGGCAGAAGATGAAAGGCCTTGCAAGGAGATTTCTCCCCTGCCTGCTCCGGAGGGTAGAGGGAGCAGTGCCGTGGCTCATCTGCTATCCTTCCTGCCTGCTGCAGTCTTTCATGAAACTCCCCACTGGGTGTTGCCTCCTGCTCCCATCCGGTGCAGCCCAGCTCTGGGAAATTTGTGGTGACATGAGCCTGTAACATGGGAAGTGTGACCCCTCCAAGTCTGGCAGTTTAAATGCATGTTGTCACCCTGGGCTGTCTGATCTCATTCTTCCTGCTCCGGAGAGAAATCAAAACTGAGAGGAGGTCTGTGGCCCCAACCAGCAGGCACTGAACCAGAAATGAGAATATTAAAAAGGAAGAGGGAGAAAATCGGAGATCCAGCTGACACATCCAGGATCCTGAATCACCCGGCAAACACGTGCTGAATGCCAAGGAGAAGCTGTTGGTTCGGAGTGATGTTTCGGCTTCCTCCATTTCAAGGATGGGGTCATGGGCTGTGCTGTCAGGTGAGGGACAGGAGAGGGGAGTCAGGAGACTAGAATGCACTGCCAAAATCAAGATAACAGCTCAGCTGATGGCAGGTCTCACATCAGTGGCTGGTACCAGTGTGCGTCGCAGTGCTGCACCAAGTTCTCCCTGCAGTCCCTTCTCTGTGGGTCAGACAGCCCTGCCAAATGAAGCAAAAGTGTCAGCTTTGAAGGGTAAAGTGTAGACTGTGAATATAAAGCTGCCTCTGGCACTTTACAGCTCCTTTTCCCCCCATTCTTCCGCTTTCCTCCCATCTCCTGCTCCTTGCTGGCTTTTGAGGAGCATGTGCGGGTAATGAACAGGTGATCAGGTGAGATTTTAGTCAAGAACAGTGGTTAACTACAGGTTTGCAACAATTAACTGTTAACTGAAGATTTGAAGGACACAGCAAAGTTAAGATGTCAAATGAGAGAATGAATGAACTGTTAGTGTACACAAGGGACAAAAGCCCGGTCCCACATTTAACCGTATAGATTAAGCTATTGTGGTAGTCACTCCAGCATGTGCCCAAAGTGAGGGGTTGCAGAGGCTGGTTCAGAGCTCCATAAATGGTAGATGGGCATGCGCATTCCCAGGTGGGGCATCAGAAACTTCCCAGAGGTAATATGACCAGTGTGGGTATCTTAGGGTGGTGGCTGCACTATTGTCTCAGCATGATTTTGAACTAGGCAGTAGGATGTACTTGGACAAGATTTTTGCAATGGTTGGATGAACCTTACTTTCTGACCCCCCTGTACAGTCCTGTTCTAGTGATTTGATCTCAAGATACTTGCTTTGCATGTGATTTTAGCAAATAGCAGGATCGTTGTTACTGTCAACGCAGAGCATCTGGGCTATTTCACCTTGACCCCAGATCCCATCCTCACTTGTAGCTCTTGTTTGACTTGTGTTTGTCGAAGTCATCTTAAGCCTGGGAAAACTCAAAGAAAGTCTATCAGGGAAGAGCAGATCCCTTCCAAACCCAAAAGAGTGCTTGTGTCTCTCTGACAAAATACTGTGCTTTAGAGGAAATTCTGCTGTGGAGAGAGATGGAAGACAGTTTTTAGTGTTGGGGACGATAATTTGTATTGCATGACTGGAGAGGTGTATGTGGTTGTGCATCAGGATCTTGTTGTAATGGATATGGTGTGGCCCAAGAACAAAAGAAGTGGGTACGCATGGCAGTTTGCAGTTCTCTTTCAGGATGAGAGAGGCAGAGAAACAGCTGAGTACTAGTTTGTTGGACAACATGTAGCATGTTGTGGTTTCCACTCACTATTGCTGTCATTGTCTTTGCAAGCTTCGTGAATACAATCTGAAAGACAAAAGAAGGGCTGCGTATTTTCTGTGACCACTTTTGACATGTGCTTCTTCTCTCTCCATAGAGAATTTGCAAAAGAACGAGAGAGGGTAGAAAATCGTCGAGCTTTCCTGAAACTCCGTAGGCAGCAGCAAATTGAACGGGAACTAAATGGATACTTGGAGTGGATCTTCAAAGCAGGTAAGGCAAGAGATCTGATCTTGGTTCGATATGTTTTGTGGCAAGTAGAGTCTGGTGATGACAGGGGACAAGGGCCCCAAAACTAGTCCTCAGTGTTGCTGGCCATTGCGGTAAACCAAGACTAGAGAGGGCCCAACCAGCACTTGTTGTTTTTGTTCGGCTTGTTTCTGGGCAGTCACACTAAAGTTATTACAAAAGATCTCAGTTTGGTTAAGCAAAAATAAAGGAGCTGGGCCAACTGTCTTTATTGCTGAGATCAAAGCAATTGTCTTAATACAGTATAATATAAAATGTGATACAGTGCCCAAAGTCTCCACAGTGGGGAAACTGTTCCCTTATATGAGTCATTTATATTTTATTTACTTTCCACCACAGCTGTTTTATAAGCCTCTCTTGCTATGATGGTAAAATACACTGGAGTGTCATTTTTATGAGCTACAGAGATCACTTGCATGAAACTCACCCCAGAACATATTAACATTGCTTTATAACTATTATAACTGAACATCGCACTTTATTGCAAGCTGTGAGCAGCGTTAACAAGGACCCAGACACACTAATTTAACAAAAAATAGCATGCTTTTCTTTTCCTTTTTATCGAACAGTAAAGATTACCAATAACCTTTCTGTGTTATAGAGTAGCTGATCTCTCTCTCTCTCTATAGATATAACCACAATGTAATTCGTTCACATAGCATCAAGAAAACTTCTGGGGCTAGTTTGCTTCCTTGCTTGCTTTTCTGAGAAGCTGAAACATCTGAATAAAGTAAAAATGCCTTTTAAAACAATGATGAGGAGAAAAAGAAGTGGTGGTGTCTCAACCAGAATTTCAGGTGCCTTTTTAGGCCAGTCAACTTCATCCTTGCCCTTCAAAAATGGGGAAACTAAGGTCCAACGTTATATAGTGACTTGCCTGATGTCATCCGAGATTGGTGGCAGAGCTGCCACTCTGTGGTGCTCCTAAACTATGGGCTGGCACCGTATGAAAAGCCATGTCATCATTCCTTGTTTTGAAAGCCATACTGAAGCTTGGGGCCTGATGTGCTAAAATGTGCTTGTGCAAATAAGTAATTGTATGGTCACAGTGACTTATCGCAGCATTGCATGTGCATAAGGTGTGTACAAGCCAGGGGCCAGAGCATCCTGGTACTATTCTGCATATAAGTGGCTCTTTGTCTGGATTTACAGCCTCTGTTTTAAGTGTACAACCTGGGTGCCAGTATTTGGAAGACCACTTTCAGATGGCTTCCACTGCTCTGCTTCTGCTTCCTTCTCTGAAGCTCTTTGCCAGCCTGTGTGCCCAGGGGAGTGGGGCTCTGCCCTGCTGCAGGTCCCCTGGGAGGACTGGGGGGTGGCTGCGGTACCTCCCCAGAGGGCTGTGGTCTGGGCATGAGTTTTGACAACCTGGCCAGAGAGGAAAAAGACTGAAGCATCGAAATGTGAAATAGGAAGAAGTAGCAGCAGTTTATATGGTGGCTTGAACCTGTTATTTCCCATCGCACTGTACAGAGTGACAACTGAGTGCCAGTTGTATTGACAGACTTTTATTCACTGTGACTGTTCAACAGCAACTGTCCTCAATTAGGTAACCATGCTTCATTCTGTGGTTTTGTAGGATTCAAAAAAAGAATCATTCCCTTCCCTTTCCATTTATAATTTGTCTTCCCATTTGTATACATGTTTTGTGCTACCTCAAATTCAAATTAATTAATGGTTTATCCAGTGGCTGGAGCAGACTGCACCGTGGTTCTCCCTTGGCTCTAGTGCCATCTTGCTTTTAAGGCTCTTGTCGTTTCTCAGTCTCTAAATCCTGGTCTCCCCATCAGTAGAATAAAGATGAGAATTCCCTTGTAGGGACGTGGGTTGCTTTGTTTCATTTTGGTGACTGCTCTGCCAAGAAGAGCTACGCAGAGGACATCAGCTGAACTTGTCTGAAAGTTGAGGTGGAGAAGTTATAAAATCTCTGCTCCAACTTTGCATCCCTGTGGGAATGGCTGGCTGTTCTATTTCTGTGTTGCCAGTGCTGAATAAATGCCACATCAGTATAGAGTGAAACTGCAGTAAAATGCCCATCTTTTTATTTTGTCTAATAACACCAGATCCAGAAGGTTTTCTAGAACAGGAAAGTGTATGCAAAATAGCTGAATCAGGGAATAATAAAAATATTCTGTAAAGGCATTGTTGAAAATACAATAGGAATATAAAAAAGCTTCCTAGTACAGCTGAATAAGAACAATAATTAAAATCAACTTAGCAGTGTTAGTAAATCTTTGAATACAAAAGGTAGCTTGAAGGCTAACCAAGACAGAGAATCGAGTGTTTAGCATTCAGGCGCTGAAATTTGGGACTGTGCTGTCAATGGGGATTTCCCATTTCTGTTTTAGAGGCCAGGATTTCAGCTACGAAATGATCATGAATTTCCAAACTAGATAATCAGTCTTACTTGTCCAGGACCGTGTGTGGGACACTGGCCAAAGCAAACTGCTTGGGTAGGGGGAGGAAAACAGTCAGGGAGGACGGTCACAGACAGTCCAGCCTGTACAGGATTCTCTTGCAACAGCCCCAGGCAGTGAGATGTAATAAGCTGTTTGCATAAAAGAAAGAGCAAACGCTGTTGCTATTTCACTCTAATATAACTCTGGAGGATTTTGTTGTTATTCATGTTAATATCTAATTGTTTTTAAATCCTTCTAGCATCCTTGACCTCATTGAATCTTGTCTCAGGGAGTTCCACATGTTAACAGTTGGTTTGATTTTAAAAACCAAACCAAGCCACCAAACACTATGTCCTGTCCTTGATTTTAAATATGTTGCCTTTCTGCAGTGAGAGGAAGAGCTCAGGAGTGCACTTCATATTTCTTTTTATTACTTTTCTTTCTCTGATCTTTCTGCACCTTGTTTCATCTTATTTTTTCTGCTCTAAAACATGCAGAACCAATCTGCTCAATCCCCTCTCTTCCCATGGAAAGCTCTCCAGGCTTCTAATATTTATAGTACCCTCCCTGACCATTTTGTTTGTTTGTTTTTTCTCATTTATTTTTGATGCAAGGTAGGAAGAGTGGAACGCTGCATTCCAGTGATTCGTAAAGTGGCATCTTAATACTTAATTTGATTGTTTTTGCTCTATAATGTTTTACATGTTCTGAGTAGTTGCTGGAGGTGGAAAGGAGGTTTCCTTGTTCTTGGTAGCACTAAAGTTTTTACCTCAAGGGCTGTAACTGCTTTAGGACCAAGGAAGGTATCTGAGTGACTAAAATCACTCCTTAATCTGTACACTACCTCCCATTTGTCAACAATGGTTTTAATTTAACATTGTGCTCATCATTTATTGACCGCTCTTGAGTGTCTTTAATGTTTCTTACAGCCTTCTCTGTTTGTAATCTGAATGATGTTATATTATCTCTTGCTGTACATATTGCATTAAAAAAGTGGTTCAGATAAAATTTTGGGGTTGTTTACTATCAACACTTTATTATACTGAAATTGCAGACTGTTTAGTCCTCCAAAAGAAAAGAATGGGTCTTTCTTTTCTGCTTCTTAAGTGCTGTCTGACTCGAGCATGTTCCAGACCTGGTCTAATGACTTGTCTAACATTTGTGTTGTAAGAATGAAGTTTCTTTAATAGCCTGGCTCTTGAGTAACTGACTTTTTTTTTTTTTTCCCCTAGTGGTACTTTTAAAGTTTTTTCCAGTGGTAAAATAAGTATAAAAAGGAAGAAAACATTAATAAAGGGTGCTTGTGAAGTTTTCAAGGAGGTACCTTGGCACAGCTGAAAGATTTTGGTGTCAGCTCACTTTTGATAAAATCACCAGAAGTGCAGCTGTGATTGAAACTGAAGCAAACATAGCTCAGGCTCGTTTAAATGTGGATTGTTTAATACAGTCAGTGGCATATCTGCTTGAGGGATCTATACTAAGGTGTTTTAAACAGTGACAGCCTTAATGTGCAAATACTTGTGTGAGTTATACTTAATACAGGAAGCTTTAATTGAAGAAGTGCTTGACAAATACCTTCTTAACAAAGGTTTGGGGAAGGAAAGTGAAAATTGTAACACAGATAGTGTGCTGAAGTGCTGAATTTAGACATACATGACTTGAAAGAAAAAAATCAGCCTATGGTCTGACCAATTTCTTAGAGTTTGAATTTACTTTCTTCACTTAGGATTATACAGAGGCCAGGTACAAAGTTTCTAGCTTTACTTATTTCTCAGGTGCGTGTACAAGAATGAATACATAGGGTAGTCAGGAGGGTTTAAATGTTTTCAAATGAAATAACAAATGATGTCATGTAAAGTTCCCATATCATGAGGCCAAGACTAAGCAAGGAAAATTGTAACTCAGTAGAGTCCATTTGAGGATGTCAAGAAGAAATGTTGTGCCACCTTAAATGACTTATAAATCTGTGTCTTCAAATCTGTAAGATTTTCAGTCTTATAAAACTAGTGCGAGTTACAGGCCAGAAGCAGTGATCAAATCCTATCATTTGTTGCATCTCACAGCATTTAGGCCAAAAATTCATATGGTAATTGCCATGTCAAGCTCATAAACATTGACTCTGTATCATTTAGAAGTGAACTGTATGGATCAGTTAGAAACAAACCTGTAATCTTCAACTTAATCTTGAAGAATAAAGTCAACTGCCTGTTTTTTAGTAAATTCTTTAAAGGGACCACCTCTTCCCACCACTGGAAGTCAGCTGAATGTAGGTGTAAAAAGCAATGTTTCGCATTGTGTTGCTCCTCTAGGCACAAGACAACAGTTCTCTTCCCCAAATGCCTCTTCTTCAGTTCAACCAGTATTAAACAAAGTCTTGCTGGTGACGAGCAAATCCTGTCCTGTTCCACCTGCTGTGTGCTGGGACAGGCTCTGCTCTTTGTTTCATGTTTTTGTTGGGCTCTGTGTGAAGGCAGTAGCAAGTCAATTTGAAATTGTGTCTTTCAGAGGAATTAAAAAGTAGTGAAACCAAGCAATGTAATCCATGCAAATGATTTTGCCACTGCTGCTTTCTCCATTGAACTCCCCGAAACTGTAGCAACTATTAGGATGTCATGCTGCATTTCCAACAGAGAGTGGAGAACTAGAAGTTCTCTGCACAGAGTAAAGTGCTTATAAGCCCACAAATATTCTTTTGAAGATGTTTCTCTTATCTTACAAGGACATGCATCATTTTGAAAACACTTTGCTCAGAGACTGGAAGTCTTTCAGTTCAGAGCTAATGAAGTTGCATGTCTTTTGCCTTTTAATTCTTTTCAAGTCCATCTCTTTCACACAGCACTGATTCTGAGTGTTTCTTTTCTTCTGGAGTAAGCAGGCTTTGGGAATGGGTTTAATGTCTCTCTTCCAGCTCACTGTAATTTGAATGCCATTCCTTGGCACAACAAAGCTTTATGAACCTCAGGTGTCAGCTTTCTGTAGAAGAAACAGAGCAACAAAGTCCCTTGATACAGCTGGGAAAAGACACCTACATCAATGAAAAAGGGCAGCAGCGTGTGTGAGATGGCAGGGGAGGATAATTGCCAGAAAGAAATTAGAGTTTCCCGTGAGAGTGTGACAGCTTCTTCTAAGAAATGCATTTTTATTCACTTTTCTATTTAACAAGTCTGAAGCTTCAACAGTTAAATTCAGTTGTTCTTCCTTTTTTCTAACTTCTGTTGCCTGTTGAACATGAGTTATTTCCTGTAATCCACTCTTCTTTTGAGTCCGCAGTGTCCTATCTGCCCATGTCAAAGGATAAGAGAAGGGGCACCATGTTTCTCTGCTGCTTTGCCTGTATTGTTCAGCTTGCCAATTCCTCAGTATAAGGTTTGCCTTTATTTCCAGTCCTGTAACATGCTGTGTGTTGTCAGTACTTAATGGCCAGCAATTAATCTTACTGCTGAGACACGTCTCACTGATATCCTAGTGAAGCCCCTGTGCCTTTACAGGCTAGAAGTTGCTGATCTGATACCGCCTCTTTGTTGAATATTTCCTCTAATGTAGAGGCACAGTTGTTTGGAGGTTTTTCTGGCGTCCTAATTATCTTCAAGGCTCTGTGTTACAGTGATGACTAAAGGCAATGCAACTTCTGATCCTCTGCTTAGGATGCTGTATGGTTAAAAAAACCCCACCCTAGCAATGATGTCTAGCCAGTTGAGCTGACTTTTTAGCAGCTTGAAAAACCACGTAGAGCCCCACTAGGGTAGATGTGGTCCTTTTGTTTCCCAGAGGATACAAGATGGACAGGAATGACTATCAAGGGAGAGAACTGGGGACCAATGGTGGAACAGAGTCAGGCTTGAGGAAATTACATAGGTGAAACCTGGGTTTTGTTTATTTTAAGGGAACAGTAAAACCGAGCCCTGGGTGAGATATGTCTATGGATGAAGATATGTTTGGGCACCAACTCAGGGCCCTGAATTTGGAGAAAAGCTCAGGTGGTTTGCAGAGTTGTCTTGAAAAGAGCAGGTACTTTGTAGGTGAAAATATGTTTGATACCAAATTGTCACACCTTACAAATTCGGAGGTCCCACTGGCATTTATCAGTCTGATTTCTGAAACCTCAGTATGGATAAAGCTCTCATCAGTCTGACTGTGGGGACACAGGTGACACGGAACACCAGACGGCATCAGTACACCATTGCACATAACGATTATGTATCCGTACAGTTCACAGTCCCTAGAGGTGATAGGAGGACTCAGGATTGTTCCTCCCCTGCTGCCCAAAGGACAGTGGAGAGCCATGACAAATTGTTACAGGAACGTGCCAAACAAGAGGCCACTCAGAAACAGGGGAAAAGAAGAATTTCTTTTTCCTACTCAGAGATCTTTGAAAGGAACCAGTACAATGTTTTTCCTCCTGCACTGATATGAATCTAGTGCAGAACTGAGCGTCCAGCTAAGTGAATAGGTTCTTTCTTTCCCGGAGTGTTTTAGGTTTTTTTAACAAGATGTGCCTGAAACCAACAACCCTCAGAGCATTGACCAGTAAGTGTGCTGGCTCTTGCTGAGATTTTCCTTCTGCAGACATAACTCTCTTGCATTGCACTCACCTGGGTGTAGCCCCTGAAGAACAGCTGCCTGTCTTCTGACCTTTGCTAGCTCATTATTTTTTGTGCTCACCACCTGCGTGGCAGTGTGTCTGCTCCCTGCAGTAGCTTGTATTACTCTATTTAATTACCAAATGCTGCCTAAAAGTCAGCTTTTCTTTCTGGGAGTGGCAGAAGAGTTCCTCTGGGACGTGCTTGCTTTTTGTCGCAAGGCCTAAACACACTCTTTGCTCCAAATGGTTTTGGATTTTCACTGCAATTTGCTGGTATGTAGCATAGGAAAAAACCCGCATCTGCCTGTTCAGAGGAGCACAAAATGGAGAACCCCAAAGTACTGATGACTGAACTAATCCCCAGATCCAAAAGAGTGCAAAAATATGTGTGGCACTACTGGTACTAGGAGCTAGACTCTAGTGGTACTAGGAGCTAGTATGTATCATTCACTCTTTCTCCCAGATGATTAATAAAGAGATTATACAAGGTTTGTGTAGTAGTGCTGATCCCTCTAGTATTCTTCAAGATGGCTTTCAGCTACACACTTTGGTGTATGGCCTGTGGTTTGTTTGTTTGGTTTGTTTTTTTATTTTTTTTTATTTTTAGTTAGCCTTCTATCTAGGCTCACTTAAATGGTCCTTAAAGCAAAATTTTGTGGGAGCACAGTGTCAGACGTTTTAGTAAGATTGCAAATTACATTTATGCCAAGCATGTGAAAGAATTTGTCATTTATAATAATACAAGGAAGTGTACAGTTTACCAGCTGCCAACTCAGTATTTTGTTTGCTTTAGATTGTTCTTTAGAAAATCCTCACATAATTTTACGGCAGCAAGCTAAACTCTCTGGTTCAGACTGTATGAACTGTATGGTTTCAAGTGTTGGCACAGTGTGGTGTGTACTGCAAATTGACTTGAGTGATGATATTTGCATTGTGAAACCTCAGGAAATTTGGTTGTCCTTCATGCAGATAAAAATGAGTCAGTTTTGGGAGGCTGTCTTTTTCAGTGTTTTCTGAATTTTTTTACTGTGGGAAAGTATAAACTTGTATTTTGGAGATGAGTTACACAGGAATGGAAAACCAACAGTGGTGTTCTTACACTTACTGCATAACTTGAACTGTGCTTGCCAGAACTCCCCCATGGAAACTTTGCTGTGGATTTTATTTGGACAAAGATTTGATGCAATGGCTACTTGGTGACATTTGGTCTCCTGTGATGTGGCACAGCTGACATGCAGCAGCCAGCCCTGCTTCTGTTACCTTGTGCCATGAGACAGAGATCCGTTTCCCATGGGCTGAGTCCTGGTCTTATTGATGGAAACAGAACAGCAGCAATGGGTGTAGAGCATCTTTCACTTCTCAAACAGTTTCTCCAATGTGGCTGGGCATGAGGGACCATCCTCTGGCTTGTGGAGATGTGTGGTCTTGCTTGGGTCTGAAGGAAGGTTCTCGATCTCCCAAAGTCCCTTGCGGGTGATAGCTGGATAAAGAAACTGGAGTGGGTGGTTGATTGTGAAGAGGGAAATCATGGAGGAGTGCTACAGTCTTCCAGTGGTTTGTCTGGCCGCCTCCTCCTGTGCAAGAGGGGCACAGGGTAAGGAACACAGCTCTCTGAGCTATCCTTTCCTCCACAGACTTGGTGTAACTGCGTGATACAAAGGGGTAAGGTTGGTGGCAGCTGGTTTTTAGAGCAGGGATGTGATAAATCTGAGGTTGAACCTTGCTGTTTTTCCTTTTGCAGAGGAGGTCATGCTGGCAGAGGAAGACAAAAATGCAGAAGAGAAATCTCCTCTGGACGGTAGGTCATTTTGCTGAGCAGTTTTCCTCCTGTGATACGTGAGAGGTTCACCTGCTGTATGCTGACGTGGCTTTCCGTTGTAACCAGGAGGGTGCGAGGAACACACTCTTGCATGCACTTGGCAGAAGTTGGGCTAAAGAGTCCCTTTTCCTGTATCGGGTCTTTTTGAGGTTGCAGGTGGATGATGAGCAGTTATGTGACACGTCACTCTGGGATGGGATCTGCCCTTGGGGTCGGTCGGTTCCTACGCTGCCTGTGGGACCACAGCGTGACGGGGACACCTGTCAGCCTCTGCCGAGCATGGCTGGCTGTGTCTACGCACAGGTTGTGGTGGGGGTAGGCTGCAGAGCGGATGCCAGAAGAGAAATGCATTGACTGAGAGAAGGCAGGGCTCTAAACTGAGGTTTCCAAATGGATTTGACAAAGAGACTAAGACCCCTGTTACTTGTAAGCAGTAAGACATAACAGGGTGTGGTGATCCTATATTCCGACGTGTGACCCTAGCATTGCAGGATGGCTGGAGGTACCGAGCTTCGGATGCAGGTGCAGCGAGGCTACGGGGACTGCTCTCCCTGTGCCTCCAGACCGATGAGCTCTTAGGATGCGACAGCCAGTCAAAGTTCAGTTAAAGATTCTTCCCTCTCCCTTTTCTGACCATCTTTCGTCCTCCCATGTCTCCTCCTTTCCCCTCCCCTCCCTTTCCCTCCTCTTTTTTTTTCTCCTCCCATTCACTGTCAGGGAGGGCCGCCTCGGAAGGGCCGATTCAACAAGGCACGGCACCGGCAGAGACTAGCAGCGGCAGCAGCTACAACAGTGAGTGGATTGCAAATCACCAGGGGCTTAGGTGGCACAGTGGGGCAGTGCTTCTCCCCCGCAGCCCCACGTGCCCACGTCACTGGCAATGTTTCCTGGGTGGTTTTGCACCGTGCTCTGAGCCATGCAGCTCCTTGGGGCATCAGGCGCCTGGCTGCTAGCCCACCTTGGCCAACCTGGTGACCTGTGCTCGGGAAGGACTCGGGGTCGGAAGAGCTGGGGCTGAAGGAGGTCAGGGCTGAGGCGTGCTTGGCAAATCTTCGTGCATGTGTGCGGGTGCGTGGGTGTGCGTGCACTGGGGAAGTTTGTCCAGCACATGGGTGCAGCCAGGGCTGTTAGGCTCGAGCCGAAATGAGTGTCTGGAAGAGTAGTCTGAAAAGCTGAGTGATGTAAGCAAACTAGAGGTGAGTACAGGCCATGGAGTAAACACCCATGTATACTAAGGCTCCCTCTATGCTGTTAAGCTAAAGGAGCCCGGCAATGTTCCCAGCCTAGTCTCCAAAACAGAGGGACATTGCATCCAAGGTGCCTGTAGAGATGGCACGACCTAATTGCTACACACATGGAGAAGTTATGTGGGGGAGAAGATAAAGAAGAAGGTGCTCAATTCATGCCAGGGAGTGTTGTAAAACATTCCTCCCAGGGCTGGTTATGTTCCAGTGCTGGGGATGGCCCTGGACATGCTGGAGTGTACTGGGACAGAGGCAGCCTGAAAGACCCCAGAGCTGGTATTGCTGGGACTGAGGATTCAGCCTACTGCTGGGTGGGGAAGAAAAGAGCAAAAGCAGTTATTTGCAAAAAATTGAATCCAGATCACAGGTTCAGAGTGTCCTGTCCTCTTGGAGGCTCTCTGAACCTGGGTGATGTTCTGTGTGTTTCTGTGAAGCACGCTTGCCTTAGCTGCGGAGGAAGAATCGCATCCGTTTATCTGTCAAGGCAGGGAAATCTGTGTAGAGTGAGGGGATCTTCTCATACGAACCTACCCCCAGGGTAGTCACTACAGAGTGAGTGGGTTTGCTGTGTGTGCCTACTGAACAGTATGTATCACCACACCGTGGGGTGTCTTACTGCTGATAGAAAATGGTGCTTAGTTACTGTATGTCTTGAAGCTGTTGCAAAACTGTATCAACGTATTTTTTTCTGCTAGTTCTCAAGGTTTTGCAGGTAGGTGGTCGTGGGACCAGCGTCCACACTGTTGCTGCGTTACCCCTTGTGCACTGGGTGAACAGTGCAGACCTCTCCGAGCCTTAGGCTGCAGTTCTCTTTCCCTGTCGAGTAAAACGGTGTAGCGATGTTTGCCCTCCCTGCAAAAGATGCTGTTGGACAAAGTGTGTTTTCAGAGTTATGACATCCCCAGAGGGAAGGAATTGTACAGTGGGTGCTATTAAGAGTATGCTCACTGATTTGTGGCAGTTGCTTTCAACATAGTATTTCTGCTCCTTAAGGCATTGCTCTGTGGTAAACTGTATCCGAGCACCATAAATGGTAACTTCTTAATGGTGCACACTGTAAACAGCATTAATGTTTTTAGTGGATAGAAGCACTCATCTCATAACCCACTGAGGCTCAGAAAGATTCAGTGACCCTGCCCAGCCTTTCTGCTATGCTAAAAGGTCCAGCAGCTGCAGTGACTCCCCCACCCTCCTGCATCTGCTGGGGTGCAGTGTAAGTGCAGACCTGTTCTGGCAAACCTTCAAGATCTAGAAGGTTAAATAAATAAATGACCCTGGCATCAAAGCACATGGAGGCCCTGCAAGGTTGTAGGTTGTCTGATTCGCTCCAGCTTACCCTTGGGTGAGAGCTTTAAGCTGGCATTGGGAAGTAAATGCTGGCCCTGGAGAGTGAAGGGAGGGGGAGAGAAAATCCACTCTGAATGCTCACAGGGTGTTTTCTCTTTAATTTGCACACAGTGTTGAAACGAGCTGCAATAAAGAAGAGCAAAAATGACCTGATTCATGCTGAAGAAGGTGAGGACCATTTCACAGACATTTGCTCCGTTGGTGAGTACTGGCTTCGCATTCCCCGAGATTTAGATCTCCACCTAAACATGTTCATGTCATGTTTCCTCTGAGCGGCTCCTTTGCTCCAGAAGCTGCAGTTTCAAGAAGGAGAATTATCACTGCTCCTGCAGCAGCACTCAACTTAGCAAAGCAAATGTCTTTGTGGCTTTACCCTCTCCCTGACGCTGCCCTGCTCAGCTATTGCATGCTGCACCCTTTAAAAGAGCCCTGCCAAAACACTTGGAGAATCTGTGTGGTGTTGGCCATACTGTGATTCTTCTTGGAACATGCTCATTCATGCTAATGAAGCCCAAATACATCAAATGATGCTACTAAGCCTCATCTGTTGTGGGGAGCAGAGGAAGTGGACACTTACTCGCATTGGACACTAATGCACAGTGTATAGTTTTGCAGCCTTTACCATACGAATTGTTACTGGGAAGTGCTGGGCAGTGGTCCCAGTTCTCAGTCTTGCCTTAAAAGAAGGTCTTAAAGCAGTTCTCCACGTTTTTAAAGCTGGATATGGAGATACACACCTGTGTGCACGCAGTTGCCCACATACCTCCAATGTAGAGTGTGGCATCCTGAATAGTGTAGCACTCACGGTACAAGTTTGGTATCTTCAGCTCTGGAGAATATGACACTGTCAGGCTACAGAGGTACTGCTTGTTCTGCAGTTAACAGAGAGCTAGTTCCCTCCTGAGACATTGCCAGGTGGAGGGGCAGGAGGCAGGTCTGGGGTTTGCAAGGGGAAGCAGGCTCTGAGCATACAGCACCCTGTCTAAGGGGAACTGTTTGGACATCAGCAGAAAGACCTTTCAGTTGTGGGATTTTACATGCTGGCTGGGGAAACATCTTCCTGACTGCTTTGGAGTTAGCTATTTTGCTTATTCCTGTCCCTGTTGTTTGAGTCTGTATTTTGTTTTGCTGCTGAAGCAGCAGATGTTCTCATTATCTTCCAAAGAAATGTCTTGGCACCCCAGTTACCACAAAGCAGTAAATCCTGGATGCATAAGAGTAGCAGCACAAAGAGTACATTTGAGAGTACATGTCCATATATGCTTGCAAGCATGAGTGCCTCAAATGCTCTTTGGAAATTTGGCATTAATGTTTTAAGAGATTACAGCTGCTGCTGGGGTTTTTTTCCCCTTTAAATGAAGACCTGGTTGCAGGAAATGAATGTTGCTCAGCATGTTACTGACACCATCACCCACTGTTGAACTGCCACAATCTCCCAGGCTGAGTGGGCTGCAGGTTTTGTGGCTAAACTGCTGACACTTGTATGAGAGGTTTGTTGCTGAAAGAGGGCAAAAATGCGGCGACTGTGTGCATTTTTGTTTTGTTTTGTTTTATTCTGAGCAGCTCGGATCCCTGCATGGATAACAAGGAATGGTCATTTTTAGAACATTTGTTCATAGTTGCAATAATTATGAGATCTTTGCATTCACTTCCAAGTCCCTCCAGGCTCTGGGCACCCATGCCATGCAAACAGATCTTTGAATTCAGTGTTTCAGGTGGCAACGGATGACGGAGCATCTGGACTCGTGGATAATCTGATGCAGAGCTGGGAACTGTCTCGGGAGCATATGGCAGGGAAAATAACAGCAGTGCTTTCCACCTTCTGCAAGTGGTTCACCCACTTGGGAAAAGTGTTTTTGATTCTGATTCATGGAACAAGGCAGAAAAGAAGAAATGGATAAAGCAGATACTTCTGCAGGCTCCTGAAAAGGCTGAAACTCTGCATAACATAAACAATCAGATCATATGGGCAATTATGCATAAAGAATATGTTTTTGAGAAAAGGGTTTTTTGGATGGTTTTCTATAATGTCTTGCTGATGGGAGCATAAGGAGCGTGGAAGAACTAACAATATAATTGCTGAATGCAACGTGAAGATGCAGACCAAAGTGGTAGAGACATTGACAGGTCTCTTGCTGGCCGTTGACTGAATATGTTGCGCTTTAATTCAAACACAAGTACCTCAATGAGCCTTATAATTGCGTTATAAAGCTCTATAGTGGTAAACACTTCCCAGTGTGTTCTCTGGAGTTGTTCTTAACATTTCTTCTGTTCTTTCCTCCTAACTCTCAGCCTGCCTTTCTGCACTAAGAAGCATGCAGCAGTAGATTCTGGCTCCTTCTGGCTTCCTACCCTCTACTCTATACCAGACACAGGACACTGTCTTGATTGCCAGGCAGCAAAGCCTGGAGAAGTGGATGTTTTCTATGTTAGATCAGTCTAAATACTGCTGCTTCTCTTTTCTGGAAGATCAGTAGAGAGGAGACGAAAGGGCAGCAGACTATTCCCATGCAAATCTGAAAGTATAGACTGGCTTGAATATCTGAAAGGTCTTTACCTGCTAAACAGTATTATGATATCGTGCAGCCTATATCTTAACCTGTAGTTCATTTTGTTGTCTTAAAGCAATAGATGAGCACTATTATTTTTATTTTTTTTTAAACTGCCAAAGGGAGGATTATCAAACTAGCAGAACAACAGCACACCAAGCTTTCCCACAAGGAGTTTGTTCAAAGCCTGGCCAGGGCCAGCTCTGCATTTGGCGTGTTGGTGGATGGCCAGAAATGTGAAATGAAGCAGAGAGCTTGCCTTCTATTGGGGAGATGGCGCAATATGCTCTTGTGTAGCTGTGAGGCTTGGAGAACCCATTGCTGTCACATCTGGATGTTTCATCCTTTCTATGGGTGCTGTGTTTGATGTTATTGCAGGATGAAACAGGGTGAGATTCCCACCCCTTCTAAGTGTTGAAATGTAAGTGAGCACACTCAAAAATTTGGCTGCTGCAGTCAGAACACTTTGTTCATGTAACTCAGCCATCTCCAACAACAGCCCATGCAAGTCATTTGCTCTCGCGGTGCTTGGTCCAAGACAGGACAGTGTGTGTCCTGTGTCCTGGTCAGCCCTACCCGCGGGCAGGCTCTGTCCCATGATGGGGAAGGGCAATAGCATATTATCTTGCTACAAACCATCTTGAAACAAGGTTCGCTAGCAGTTTCTGAGGGGTGCCAGCACAGCATGAAACAGGTAGTGGACAGCCTGCAGCAATCACGATTTTCCCTGCTTGCAACAGTGTCTGTGGCTGTTGCAGAGGAACTCCAACAGATGCATGTGTTTATTACTAACGTGTGCTGATTTCTCCTGCCTCAGCACTGGCCAGAGATTGCCTTTTCATCATTCGTTTGAACAGTGCCTGCTACCGCATGGGGAGAGCTTACATTAGAAATCATTTCTTCCGTCAGCTTCCTATTGTTAAAACATTTGACTGTTTTCCAGGGTTTCAAACCAGAGTTGAAATGTAGCTGATCTAGGCAGAATTGACACAAATGAGTAGCTGAGCCCAAAATACGATGCATGGAGGCAGATTGAGCCCTCTGCTGTAGAAACACATGAAGTCAGAGAGTAAAATAAGGAGGCTTCACTCAATTCAGTAGTAAGGTCTGGGTCTTTGCTTTGTCCTTGGAGCAGGGGAAATAGGGACCAGCTTTCCTGTTGCCAGCTACCCAGCTCCAAGAGGATGTGCTCCACACCACAGGCAGAAATACCACTGTGCCTGGTACTTTCTGTCCCTCCATTCAACTGGGAACCCAAAAGTTATGAGTTAAACTGAGACAATCAAGATTGCTTCAAAGGGTTGGAAACCCAGTTTCTTTAGATGGTGGAGCTGGGCATTCATTCATGAAGTTTTAAAATCCCAGCCTTCATCCCTCACTATGTCATTGCAAGCGAAACGCCCTTGCTCAGCCCATAGTCAATGTGCCCAGCTTTCTGCTCAGCTGTGTTTCTGGTGCTTGGGAGAGGGTCTGTGTGCCCGAGAATGTCCTCCGGCCTTTCACCTGCCGGAATGTGGTGTGGTGACTCTTCTTTCTGTCCCAGGGTCTCCTTTTGCTCGTGCCAGTTTGAAGAGTGGGAAGAACGAGAGCTCATCCTACTTCAGGAGGAAAGAGAAAATGTTCCGGTTCTTCATCCGGCGCATGGTGAAAGCTCAGAGCTTCTACTGGATTGTCCTCTGTGTGGTCGCCCTCAACACACTCTGCGTCGCGATGGTGCACTATGACCAGCCGGAGAAGCTCACCACTGCGCTGTGTGAGTACCAGGGACTGCACCTTTCCTCTAACGAGGTCTTGCGTTTTTGGTCACTCTGAGCACTGCTGTCACATACTCGTGAGGTCTGGTCTTTTGGCTTCCTATACCTCCCTTGGAGGAGGGTCAGAAATTCATTAATGAGTGGTTCTAGTAACTCAGGAGTAGCTGAGTCATACAATTAAAAAAAATCCACCAGGACATGATAACTGTTTTGAGGTGGGAATGTGATCCTAAATATTATCTGAAACTTCAGATTCAAACACATTTACATCTTGTAACACTGCAGAAGGATTTGTTCTGTAGCAGGCTTTATGAAAGGAGGGGGAATGACTCACTACTTGGGTAAAGGCAGTTTTCTCTGTCTAATCAGCATCTGCCCAGAGAACTGCAGAATTCATGCCACTTTGCAGCTGATCTGCATGGGTGATTTTTCTGTTGTGCACATACTTAAAGCTGTGCCAGCATTGATGTCCCAGGGATAGCAGCACATGCAATGGCTGATGCTATTTGGGAGATAAAAATGTCGATCTGTGCTTATAGAATCATACAGTAATTCACTACAGTTGTAGCTATTATTGTCGTATTCTTTAGAAGGTTGCAACTTTACAGAAGGTCTTTTTTGATAATCGTGTCTTCCTTAGTAACGGTGTGTGATCAGGTGGGATAAATGTCATGATGCCCTTCTGTGAAAATATGTGCAGTGGTGACAGAAATAATACTGTACAGAAGATTATACTATATTTGTGCAAAAGCTTTTATTTTAGCTTAGTTCCTGTGGTCACCTATCAGTTTAGGCTTCAGATAGTCTATAAGTGCTTTTGAAGTATGATTTTTTTTTTTAAATTGCATATTGTTCTGTCCTATGATGAATAATCAATGGAGGCAGCTTTCTGCAATTGGTACCTTTACACAGCACAGCATTACACGGAGGTTGCAGACTTGCTCACAAAGCCTGTTTTAAAAAAATGTGGAATGTAAAGGAGAGCGCTCGTTTTCATTTATTTTAATGAAGGTTGTAGGCTGTGACTCCTAGAGCTCGAAAACTTGTAGGAATATGGTGACACTGAAAATGGGACACTGCAAATTTTTCCTTCTGAAGGGAAGGGATGGAGAGCTTGTTTCTGGGAGACAGAGCCATTGCATTGGCCACTTCTGAATCTATAAAATGGCCAGGAACAAATCTTTTGTTCAGTACTTGATGTTCAGATGCGGCTAGTTCAGAATTTGCTAAGTAAAACTTCTGAAGCAAGAGAACAGAAGACTAGGAAAAAACCCTAAAATATTTCAAACAGTCTGACTTAATAACTGTGGCTTAGATCATTAAAGATACTTATCTACCTAATTTTCATTGATTTCTATATAAATTAAATACTTAAATATTTCTATCTCCAGATCCTCAGCTCTTACCTTATTATAAGAAAGCAAACTTTTGAAGTTTTTTTTTATAGACCTAAAAGGTCAAGAATACTAGCTGCTCTGACTTCAAAAACCCTCTCTATTAATGGTTGCTGAAATATTTAATACCACCAGGTAACTGGAGCTATAATGAGAGTTGTATAAGAAGGACAGAAACTTCTTTCAACTCTTTTTTTTTTTGGTTTGGTTTTTGTCAAGATTTAGACTGAAAAGAGAGAGAGACTACACAGAGAAGTCAGTCTTGCTTATTCATTTCCTAAATTTAACATAAATAATAAGCTAGATTGGCAGAGTAATTAAAAGTTTGAGGCTTAGGATTTCCTCTTGAATTAAGAATAAATGTCTAGAAAAAACCCAACCACTTTAAGTCTTTCAACTCAAAAAAGAAGGCTTAGATTTCCAAACTCAGTTTTGGGAATACCTTATGCAGTAACTTTTCTAAGAGAACATTAAGAAATCCATGAGCCAGCAACTTCTACTTAGTATTCATATGAGAGCTGGAAGGGATGTTTCTGTTAATTAGAATTAAAGGTTCACCTCTGTGTGGGAAACGTATCTGGAACAGAGGCCATAAATTAGGTTCCCAACCTGCCTTAGCTGAAGACAAAAAATAGGGAAGGTTGAAATTGTGTTGTGACTGGGATCATGGATTGGGGTGGATCCTTCTTTCAGAAGCTTTGGATGTGTCCATAACACCCAGTATTGTGAATTAGTTTCCAAAAAACTTGGGTAGCTTATTTTAATTTCTTGGTGCTAAGGTACTACCTAGCTAAGAACAAGTGATTCCATTGAGTTATTTTTAATGGAAAAGTCCGAAAAACACCAAGGAACAATGTGTTCTTGGGAGTTAAATCCTCAGCATCCTCCCAGCCATAGGTGCTTTCCTGTGTCTCATCTGCCCTTTATGTATCTTTGCACCATTGCACTGCCGTTTACTGTAAGACTTGAGTATGTCCCTTGTCAATAAAGAAACACCTGAGCAGGTGTTTCACAAATCAATCTCTTAGATTCACTAAAAGACATGCTAGTGGCTACACATAAACACTGTTAGAAACAACACTGTAATTGGTGAGGGCAACACAGAGCTGGGTCACAGACAAAACCAGAATATCTGAGGAATCATAGGTTTTGTGGATGTTCTTGTACAGGTATAAGCATTGGGTCTTTAAGTGGAGTGGTACAAGATTAGCCACCATGACATAGAGAATAAAAGCCAGAATGAATGGTTGTCGTGGAAATTCTAAGATACTCTAGGTAATAGTATCTTGGTTTGTTTTTTGTTTGTTTGTTTTTTGTTTTGGTTTGGTTTTTTTCCCCCAAAGATAGTTTTCTCCAAGACAAGAAGCAGAGGTGCCATGGGTTCATTTTGGGGAGGATTGTCTCTGGTCTGTCTGACAGCACAGTGTAACAGAAGCTCTGGGAACAAACCTTTTTTAACATGATTTTAGAATAAAGAGCTTCTGAGAATTGTCCCCTGAAAAGGCTTACAAGTTCAACCTCTTAAATTACAAGAGTCCTGCACCTCCAAACGCTCCCAACTTTTCAGGATGAAGAGCTGTAGTATTATATTCATGCCTGTCTTTGCATTGGTAATGACCTAAAGGTTTCTGCCTGCTTTCCTGGGGGATGGTATAGTTTTCATACCATAATTTTTCCTACTAATGCAAAGTTTAACATTGAATGCAGGGAATATTTTACACCTTAAGGTACATGGGACTTTGCGTGGACTAACTGGTTGTTTGTTACTGCAATCACGGTAAGACTGGGCTTGGCCCCCTCACTCCTGCGTGCACTAAACTGCAGCCAGCCTGGTTAACCCTGCAGCAAATGCATTTGTGAACAAGCCCAGATGTGGTTTAGCCCTTGAGGAGTGCTCCTTGAAAGCCCTGTTCTGACCAAGATTTGTGTGCAAATCATTAGATATAGGCAGAACAAGGTATCACAAGACCAGGGAATTTTAAAGAGCTCCTGGAAATACTTGGCAAAATCCTTTAACTCTAAGAGTGACAGAGTTTAAAAATGGCTTTAAAGTTTATCCATGATGAGTGAACTTCACTACAGAGGAGCAGGACTTGGCTAGTCTGATGTATAGCAAGAGAGGAGTAGCCAATTCTAATTATGTTGTTTCATGGAAGGTGCTTAGAAATGAACTGGTGAGGAGTTTTGTGAACTGTAGCAGCGGGAGAGGAGTGTGGTAAAGTCTGGGAGAATCCGCTAAACCCTGAAACTCTACCAGGCACCTCTATTTCAATTATACCTGTCCCTCCGGGGAAAAGTATAATTACATTACAAATTAATTTTACTTAAAGAACGGTTGGTAAAAGCCTATGGGTCTGCACTGATTTATTTTTCCCTTGGTCTTTACTTTTAACTTTCCTGCTGCTGAATTGTTCTGATTAGCTTTCTCCACTTGATATTCCATATTGCTGCAACTGCTTTGAAAAAGGAACTGTAGGAGCTTTAGAAAGGGGCTTGGGATTTCTTTAGTCTTATTGAAAGAGCTGATGAGAAATTCTTTGAATTCTTGGGGTATGGTGAAGAACAGGACATACTTTATGCCCCTGTAATTACCCTCAAATTAGATCAGAGATTTTCTTTCTCTGCATGGAAAGGGTTCCAGTGCTGCATAGCAACAGGAGTTTTCTCATACTGCACACGGACACACGGCATGTTCTGCTTACCGAAGCATGAACCTTCAATTAAATAAGTTGCAGTTCCCTATAAAAGTATATATTTCATGCAGCCACCCATGATTGTCATCAGTTTGTGGTAATTTGCACCATTGCTGGCATTCTCAGAAAAAAAGAGACTTCCGTCAGAAGAAAACTCTGTAATCTAGCCTAGAAAATCATCACTGACATCTAGTAGCAGCAAAGATGCATCTTCAACTGTGAGGGCAACAAACCAACAAACTCCATAATGTGGGCACACAGGTGCAGTGTTAAGGGTTTTTCAGTCAGGACTGTACCTTCTAAAAATATATGCTGTAGCTTGAGCAGAAGTTGCAAGCCCGATGTGGAAACAGGTGAATGCATTTCCATGCCCTGTGCTGTGCAGGAGGCCAGCAGAGATGATGGTGGTGGTCTCCTCTTCCTCTGGCTAAAGCTGTGGAAGAAGGCTGGAACCATAGCTCTCTGGCTTCCCTGGGGCAGGCTTTAGGGACCTTGATGAGAAGGTTTTGGGGTTGGATCAGTAAGGTTTCACTTGGGAGCCCTCTCATCAGGTTTCCATTCCCCTGTGGCTGCCCTTCACGAAGCAGTTCTCTCCATGTTTCTCCAGCTACCACTACAGTGATCCTTAACTTGCTCCTAAATTTATATCTGTTTAAAAACAAGATCCAGAATGTCTCCTTTCTGATAAATACTATATTTGAAAACAGTATTTTAGCCATTATGGCCTGAGAACATCTTCCCTGTGTGTTACATGATGCTGAGCCATGTGTCTGGTGCAATTAGGCTTTTTTTGATGATGTTGTGTTTGCCTTTGAAGTAGATAGCCAGTTCCCTCTGGATATAAATATACAGCATTTGCAATTGTGAGGAAAAGGCTTTCTGAAGTGAGCATATTTGTTTATGTCTGCTGAACATTTCATATCTGCTTTGTCAAAGAGAAGGAAGTTGTACTTTGCTGAGGTTCTCCTGGTTGGTGTAATGTACAAGGAGGATGAGCAGAGGAAACCAAAGCGGCAGGCTTGGCACCTCCTCCTAATGACATCGGACTTGGAGACATGGCGGAAATGGAATTAATCCATGGGTGATTGACAAAAAAGAGCTGCTAACTATCTAATTCAAACTTAGGGGGCAAAAAGATGCTAGCAAGGCCTTTGCCAATAGCACAAATTTGAAATTAAATAAGAGTATTTGTATCAAACTTTTTTTCCTTAAATCACATTACAAAATGCTTCTGCTTAACACAGATTAAATTACATGTGGGATCTGAATACCAGGAGGTCCAAACAATGAAATTGCATTTTCAATTATACGGGCAGGGCTATGTCAGAAGAAATTGTGTTTCTGATCCATCCGCTGGAGAAGCTGATTCACTTTGAGTCAATTCCTTCTGCCCAAGGAGTTCACTATGTTCATATTTTCCTTCCCTCCGTCCCCTGTCCTCATAGCACTATGATCTGTAGCACCTGGTATCGCTGAAATATAGCTATTGCTGCCTGTTTTGAACTCCACCTAGATGGAAGTCATCAGCTGTGAAAGGACAAGTTGGGTGGTTCTTTCAAGAACAGCAGAAGGAAGTGGTTTCTTGGATGTTCTGAGTTTCTAATGTTTCCTGTTGTTTTTTTTAAAATTTATTTTTCTTTTTAATAAAATATTTATTGATTCTCTTTTACTTAGAGACAGCATTTGCTAGCTTTTTTTCCTCCTATGATATTCTGGTTTTGCATGTGTGTTTGCAGGATGTGTCAGTCCAATGATGGAACATTGAACTGGTTGATACCTGGGGTTTTTTTCATGCTTCTGCTGGATGGGTGACTGAACATTAATCTTTGTTTCTTTCCTCCTTTTTCTTCTTTTGAAATGATGGTAATTGTCTTGCCAAAGTATACTGAGATCTGTTGGTGAAAATTACAGTAACCCCCCCCACCTAGTATTATTCTTATTCTGTAAAAGAATACGGGGTGTACCTGAAATGTAACTCTTGAAAGGTTAGTCTGGTGGACAGAGAAGAGGATAAAAATCTCCCTGCCAGCATGAGATATGAAGCAGGTGGAGGCTGTGCAATGCTTTCTGTAGGCCTGATCTACAACCCTTCCCTACGATTTTAAGTTTTGTCTGCTAACTGAGCAAGACCACCAGTTTCAAAGCATTGGTTTGATATCAATCCTTGTGATAGGGAGACTTTATATTGAAGACATTCCAATAAGCACTGTCAGGCTTGCTGAGCTCTGCTGAGTGTGAAACTGAAGATGGGAGTGGTAACTGCCCAGCAAGGGAGAGACTGTTGTCAGCACAAACGCTGGTGCAAGCTTTCCCTCTGGGCTAAGGACTGAAATAGGTGACAGGAGCAGCACAAATTCTTCCACACCCAGAGAAGATGCATCTGCTTTATTGGGGGAATTTTACCTTCTGTTTCTTAACCACTTCCAAAGTATGTAGGGTGCAGAATGGAAGTTCAGGATCTGGCCTGGAAGCTAGTTTAAGCTTCTGATTTACAGGGCCAGCTATTAATAATTAAGGATTTTAACATTCTTGCTAATTCACAATTGTGATCTTTTTAATTATGTGCAAGGAAATTCAATACCACTGAACACGTGGTTTTTAAAAATTCTGTATTTTTATATTATTGGACTTGTCAGCCATCTCATTTTATGCCTGACACTGGTTCACCTGGTCCCTTTCTCGCACCCTCTGCGCCTGTATAGTCAGATGGATTGCCAGTGTAACTGTGGATAACTCCCTACTCTGGGGTCCCTGGTGTTGGAAACAACTGTTTGCTCACTGAGCTGTTGTGTCTGATGTCAGAAAGGAGAGAAAAGTTGTAGCATGGTGCAGGTGCGAACAAGCTTCTCCTAGCAAGTTCCAGCCTCAAAGGGAGATGGAGGTGTGCTGCTGCTCTTTGTGACCAAGCTTTCCCCTGAGCACTGAGATCCAGTGGGTGGAGCCTACCTCTTGGTAGGAAAAAGGCTGAGACGTCTGCAGACCTCAACTTTGTCATCTTATTCCTCAAATGTGAACACTTTGCCTTTGATAGTCTCCTTTAATGATATTGCTCTTATTTTCAAGGAGAGTAGGTTACATGGTATAATTAATATGCTCCTGGTATTTCCTCCCCTACTGCAAATGTTGGTAGAAATGTCCTTGTAGGCTCCTCACAGAAGTGCTAATAAAACCTTTCTCATCTGGTTAATGCTTCCTGGATTTCAGTTAACATGATGCCCATGATATTTCATGACTGTCTTTCATTTAAAATTTAAAACCCCTTTTAATTTTTTTTATAATTGAGGCTGTATTTTTCAAGCAATTTCAAAAGACAGTCAGCAATGTGAGATGGACCTGGGCCAACTGCACTCACTCAATATGAATGTGCAAGGCAGTGAATGGAGTGAAAGCCATGCGGTTTGAAAGGACCCTCATTCCCTCCTCTCTCTTTGCCCACGTTCGTTAGCTGAAGCCCCTTATTGCAGGAGGTGTACAAAGCACCTGGGGTTCAGGATTATCCAGCTGAAATTTTCCTTGTTGCAGCTTGTATATGTTGCCCCTTGTCTGTCGCTGTGCACCTTTGAGAAAAGTTTGGCACCATCTTGTCTTTATCATTCCCAGAATCATAAAAGTGAAATTACAAAAGATGACTTTCCTGTTGCATCTGCGCTGCTACAGCATCCGAGAACCTTCTGTACTGCACTAAGCAATGTGATTAATCTCCACCCTTTGAAGTTTGATTCTTTTCCCCATCTCTCTAGAGGGAGAGGTTTGCCTTATACTATTTGGTTTGTTTTGGTAGTGTAGAGGTTTTTTGCCCTTTTTATGTTTGTTCTTAACATTCCATTGTTGCTGTTGCTTACTGGCCTCCAGATCTAAACTTGCATGACTTAAAATGCCAAAGGCAGTGTTTTCTGTAGCTTCAAGTCCTAAAAACTTGATCTGGAAATTGAAGTCTCCAGCTATGTTCTTTCTGCCCTTTGTTTCATCATAGGTGATAAATTTTCCCATCAAAAGCTTCACAGCCTATTTGCCTGTGATATGTGAAACAGGAAGAAACAGAACTTGCTCTTCCATAATTATATGGTTATACAGGCATAATAAAAATAAATGTGGCTATGTGCTAACAGTAGACACAACACCTCTGAATATAAGCTCTCTGAGGCAGCAGTTCTGTTGGGTATGAAGGTATTTTTATCATGAGATGATGTTACAAAACCTTACACTCCACTCCCAAAAGTACCCGTCTCATGTAGGTACAGAAGTCTCAAACATACATTTGCAAAACATTATCTGTGTAATGAAATTAGACCTTTAGAAATATTAGATCCAGAGCTTTCTTTTGAAATTCCTTTACAGAGATGATGAGAATGTTATTTAATGCTCATACCAACCTTCCCACAGTACACATGAAACATTGCCTTCATAGTTCCTGAAGGTTGAATACAGCTCATGTGCGTATAGAAATAATTATGGGAAACTGTCATCAGGGTCTTGTTGGCCATTGCAAAGGGATTTCCTTCTGGCAAGAGGCGGTCTCTGTTGCGAAAACTTACTGTTGTTCCCCACATGAAGAGATCTGCCTACCAAGGTCTTGTGGACTAATTTAATCTCTTTTCCTGTTTCCAGACTTTGCAGAGTTTGTTTTTCTGGGTCTGTTCCTTACTGAGATGTCTTTGAAGATGTATGGACTAGGGCCAAGAAATTACTTCCACTCTTCATTCAACTGCTTTGACTTTGGGGTGAGTAGGCTTCAGCTGTGTGGATGAAGTGTGTGGCTCTGCCGTTATTCAGTGGGGTTCAGCGTTTAAGGGTGAGTATGGGAATCCATGGGAAATGGTGCTGTAAGTGTAGAAGTCATTGTATAAATTAGCTTCAGTGAAACACATTAAGCTTCCCCTAGTTATCATCCTTTTTGAAGAAATGTGACAGCTGGGGATTTCATTTCCTCGGCAAGCTACAGGGTGTTCGCAGCATCAGCACCAGTAAATGCTCTGATTACTGCGAGATTCTCTCTCCCATTTAAATGAGGTGATTGAAAGACAAAAACCCCACACATCTTATTGCTCATCTCCCCTATCATCCATTTAATGGCCTTTACCTCAAGATACATCGGCAGCACTTTTCAGACATGAGTGCCCAGAAGTAGAAGTCTAAACACATGATTAGGTGACAGAAAGGCAATAGCTTACATCCTTTTATTGCAGAGGTACAGGCTCTCCCCTTCATGCTAAAACTATAGCTTTGAAATGTGAATAGCGGGGCCAGTTTTGACTCTGTCTAACAAAGAACGTGGCATGCAGATGTTAATGTATTCATTAAAAGCTATTAGGCTGTAATCTGTCCTCACAGAGTTTAACTCAGCTTCTCTTACCTTTAGTGTGGGCTGAGCACTGCATCCCAGAGGCAGAATCAGTCTGTAAGGTTTCTTTAACAAACCAGATACGAAGCTTATGATACAGCCACGGGCAAGGGGAAAACAATCCAGGTCATTGTACACATCATCCAGCCCTTCTCTCCAAGATTCAGTCTGTTGTTTCTAGTCTTTATCTGCCAAAATGCTGGGAGTTTCTTCTCCCCTGTGGAGCAAAATTCCCTGCTTTCAGCTGTGCTCCTGCAAGGAAGGAGGAGGTGTTCTTACTTTTGGTAAGTGACCACTCCTAAATCCAAGACTACAGGCAGAGCCAACTTCTCTTTTTGGCAGTGCCAGCAGGAAAGCTCAGAGCTAAATAGACTTTGAGATTAAGCCATCCAGCCCAAGAATCACCAGACTGAGGGGTTCCATCAGGCTGCACTAAGTGTGGGGGTCCCCCTTCTGGGGAGTTCATCAGAGCTGGTGGTGGCTCAGAGCATTGAAATGCATTGTGCCGCTCTTTCTGGCTGCATAGCGCAAAGGATATTGCACAGACTCTAGCTGTCATGAGAGCAAACCAGAGCACAAATAATACAAATAATGTAAGATAACTGGATGTCTGCATATTCAGAGTTGGTGCCTAATCTGAGGGGCAGAGAGGGTCCCCTCAGCTGAAGGCAGCCAACCCATGGCAAGGTTTAACTACTGGCAAGATGTCCTGCAAAGGCTGGGATGAAGAGTGTGCGCACAGAATACAAGGGGGCTGACACTCAGCTTTCATTAAGTTCAGTGCATGCCCAAAGACCCCAGCTTCTGTAAGCTGAGTCAAAGACGTTTGGTGGCCAAGCAATATTGCCTAATTAGTCTTCTAAGGGTATCATTGCTTTGTTTGCATTGTCTAGTGACAGACGGTAGATCGATGTCCTTCACCAATGGATTTGGTGGGTTCAGAGCTGCAGCCAGCTTGCCCCCATGCTGGCTGCCAATTTCACTGGATCATTGTATCCAGGATGCTCCTTCCACAACAAGAAGAACTTGTACCTGATGATCAGGGACAGGTGATTTAGGAGCTTGCACTAAGCAAGAGATAAACCTACCGGGTGTCTTTGCTTTGTGTCATGCTATGGTGAGTGCAGCACTGGCTATAAGCTTTGCTGAGTGTTTCCCAGGAGGTAAAGCTGTTGATCTGTTTCTAATTCTTCCTTCTTTAGAGAATCCACAGGGATCCTACTTCTATGTTTTTTCCTCCTCACCCACCTTCCAGCCCCCAGAATCAATTCAGCCACTTCACCCCCACTGGAACATCGCACAGATCTGTAGTCAGTTTAGTTTGACAAACCATCAAGATGAAATACAAAAAGTGAAACAACAAATCAGAGCAACATCAGTCTTGGGAGGAACAGTCCAGTGGGGTGTCATGTGAAACAAGCTCCCAGGAGGCCATGCTGAGATGCCAGGAAAATTAATTATCAGTGTAACATGTGGAAGGTCTAAGGAAAGGTTTTTGCTGATTCATGAGGGATTCCCAAGAGTGATAGGCTGTGGGAGAGAAGTTTTAGTTCCTTCTTTTCCTGATGGGAGAAACTGGATGAGCAACTGTTGTGTATCTCCCTTTCCCACTGCATTTTCTTGAAGCTCAGGGTACAGCATTTCTTGCAGAGCAGCTCTAAGCAATGCTGTAGTTTTCAAAAGACATCCAGGTTTCTGTTTATGAAAGGGGTTTCCAAGCTGCTGAGTCTCCCAGCACTGCTCAGGTACTCAGACAGCTCTGCTGGCCCTGACTTCCCATTAACACTCCCTCTCACAACATGAAACAAGTGCTCGCTGGGGTCCAGTGATAATGTGTTTATGGTGTGCTTCGCACAACCGGGGACCATGGTCCATGGGAGCTCTGAAATGCTAGGTTAATGCAAGTAATAACAGCAATTGGCAGTGAAATGCCTGTCTTCTCCTATTAACTGTGCAGTAACCTGTGTGGATATAATTGCTCTTTCCAATTGTGCTTAACCCATTACTATTTTGCTCATTTTATAATACAGGATCGCAGAGAAGATTTCTCTATCACTTGAGATTAATTCTCTTCCAACCTTAAAGCAAACAAACAGACAAAACAAAACTTAAAAAAACACCTTGATTGGGGATAATTTTTCAATAACCTGAGGCTGAGGGCCTGGCAGACTACTGGATGTGCATGCTAGAGGCTTTGCAGGATCTCTTAATAGCTATTACCTTAATGGCTCTCCTAAAGACTGTCAGTTGCCAGAAGTTTCTGGTGGATCTTGCCCAGAGCTGATGCTTCACTGTTCCGCAGTGCTGTGGGTGAAGACTTTTGGTGCTTCTGACGGGAAGGGGAGGATAGAGCAGTGCTCCCCAAGTCTTTGCAGGCTGTGCAGACCGACTGCATGAGGTGGGAAAATGAAGTGTAGGCATTTGCAGTTGAGCCAGTGTAAAAACAAAACAAAACAAAACCAGTGTCTTTCAAAACAGGTTATTTTAATGTAGTTTGCTTGCTAGAGAAGAAAGAAACATGTTCCTATCTGTGATCTCTGATGCATCTCTCCCGCTTCTAGGTATTGTCCTGTTTTAGACTGGACTGCAGAAAGTTGGAACAAGTTTTTTTAGTGCTGTTAGCTAATTCATGATTTTGCTGAAGCCTTCATAAGAAAACCATCACAGCCCAAGCTCTGATTCTTATTCTGTCCTCAGCCTCTCTAGAAGCACCACAAAGAACTAAGCAGAAGTTTTGCCTTATGTAAAATGGACTCTTCTTGCAGGTCATCGTGGGAAGTATATTTGAAGTTATTTGGGCTGCAGTGAAACCAGGTACCTCATTTGGCATCAGCGTATTGAGAGCACTTCGACTGCTGAGGATTTTCAAAGTAACAAAGTAAGTCCAGCTCCCTTTCCGCTCACATTGGTCTTTTAGCACCATATGAAATCTGTATCACCAGCCCCACAGCAAGTAGTAGTGCTCTCCACACTTGTTAAAAAAAAAAAGTTTAAAAACAAAAAACAACCCCCAAAACCCCAGTACTAGCTGGCACAAAGGTCTTGTCTATCCTAACATCTTATGTCTACACTGGCCCTAATGGGGTACGAGAGCGGAAGAGAAATGCAGATGCAGAATTGCCCTTTCCTTGGCTGGGCAATCAGAGTTTCTGGCAGTTGAAAGTTTAGGGAGCTCCTGAGCCTGTATTTGCATCCACAAGGACTTTAAACAGCCCTTTCCCCAGCCTCATGTGCAGGTTTTTCTACCCTTGTGCAGAGGTCTCCATGAGGCTGCATGAGAGCATCCTTCTTTTCTTTGTTTGCTTAAAACAAAAATCTCGGAGGATGATCCCTTATTTCTTGTGGTAAGAGAAGAAAGTTTCTTATTTACTTTCTAAGCCCCATCAACTGCCCACTGTCCTTATCTGCTGTTGATCTGGTGATAGTTCCTTAAGTATTTAGGAACTGGAAAACTGAGCTGCCCTGGTTATTGTTAGTTACTAAATTCTGGTGCCTGAACCACTGTGCTGACACACACATAAAGTGTGTTGCTGCTGCCTGTGCTGTGTGTGGTCTGGGAATGTCTGAGGTTTTCAGTCTTGACCTATGAAGTTGAATTTTCACTAGGGTTGGGTTGCCATAGCTTTTCCGTTGTTTTCGTGCTCATGCATTGCATTAATGTGTGCTGGCATTAGCAAACAGCTACTGTGCAACTTGTAAATCCATCTAGAGCAATTTCTGCAGGATTTCAAAATTGTGGTGTGGAAATTGATGACACATTTAGGTGCTCCTGCTGTAGTTTTCCACATTTTTTTTTTTTTTACACCATTACCTCCTCAGATCTCCTCTCTTCCCATCACTCTCTTACTTGTGCTTGGCTTGAAGTAAAAAAAGAAGGAATAGCACCTCCCTCCAAAAAACCCCCAACCACCTCAAATAGATAAAGCACAGGTTGTGACATTTGAGCAAAACAATCAGTTGAAGTAACTGGGTACTTTTGCAGCTATTCAAACACACAGGTTTTGTTAGCACTGTGGGGTTTGCTGATTTGTATCTGCTAATCATTATGCACATCCAAGATTCGTGTGTGATACTGTGTCATTTGTTGTATTGTGGGACAAAGAGGTTGGAAACGTTAAGTTCTGAAAACATCCAGCAAAATAGGTGGGTGCTTGCCCCAGAAAATGTCACTATAGTCTACCTTTGCACTAATCTTATTTATGGAAAACTCCAGGTTTTGTAGCAAATCCATAGCAATTAATTGTCAGCAGTTAATTTTATCCAGAGCTACTGAGATTTAGTGTATCTGATTGTGTGTTGTACTTTTGAAAAATTTTGGACATTTTTGCAAGTTAGAATGATCTTTTTGTGAGTTTTGACTATTCGGGATTTTAGCCAACACAATAAAGGGATGAAGCCTGAGATTTAACTTAAAGCATATCGTGGAGCAAGCAGAGTGCTCTCCCCCTTCTCAGTTCAGTGAGTGAAATTCTCACCCTACTGATGCTGAAGTTGCCTTGACCTAATTACGTGGATTTTTCACCTGACATGACAGAAATGCAGTAATTGCATTACCAGAAGCCAGGTCCCCCCCAGCTCACATGGGGGGGATCTCAAGTGTGCTGGGCCACATTATCCCAGTGCTGGAGCTGCACAGCTCAGTCCTAGCATAACTCGTGGAGAGGAACCAAAGCGATCGCACTGGGCACAGATTGCTACCCACCCGCTCTCATTACAGTCTTTACTGTGCAAACATCCTGACCCTCAATAGTTTTCTTTTTTCCTCTTTTTCCATTTCTTTCATAGCATTTTTTTCTCTGAAGTTCCCTGCCCTGTTTGTTTTTGGTTGGGTTTTTTTTTTTATTTTTTGCCTCTGTGTTTAACAGAAGCCAGTTGCAGTCCACCTGCTTTGAATAATCAATGGTGTAAGACCTTTTGATTCATATGTCCCAATTCAGTGTAACTGCAGAGAGCAGAATGATGCAATAGTTAAAAAGTTAAATTACAGCTGGCCTGAAAGGTGACAGCAGGATGTGCTATGAGGGGAAGCAGCCTAAGAGGGGCTAAAATTCAGCAAGGAAGACAAGGAGAAAACAGCTTCACATGTTTTCCTCTTTGTCATAACAAAACTGGATGGGGACTGACATCTGTAGAAATGCAACTCCTCATTATATCTTGGTGCTCTGTAGTCAGGGAAGGTTTGGTGCTGAGCTATTTCAGGACAAGACAGAGCCTCCGCATGTATTTTGTGTCTGGTTGAGAGGTGCAAACCCCTTGCTTGTGGCAGATTTTGCCTGAAGCCATTGTGTTGAGCAGGGGAGAGCCATGAGATCAGCAAACCCTTCCTCCTCCTCCAAAGACAGCAGCTCAGCCCCTTTTGCTTAGGGGCTAACCCTGAGTAGGTTTGGTTGCAACTTTTCAATTGAAGATATTGTCCCAAGAGGTCAAAGTTTCCCCTGAAACCTCTGTTGCTGTATTATGGGCATAACTCTTCTTGGAATGGGTGCAATGAGTGCAATGGGAGAGCAAGATCCTGCTTCTCCTGGGATGGATGTGCCTGTATCATCCTCAGTACAGAGAAACATGGGCTTGTTCAGTCCTCCCAGCTACACCTGGGGGAAGGAAAAGGAGGAAAATGAAGACAAAGAGAAGAGAAAGGATGATGTTTCTGCTCTTCTGACTCAAGCTCTGAGCTTCTCTCCCCACCAGCAGATCAGAAAAATCTGTGGGCTTCCTTCTGCTGGATACCCACAGCTGCACTGCAGGAAGGAGCTCAGTGCATGGATCTGTCCCCAAAACTGCAGCCAGAGGACATACATGGCAGGATGGGAGAGCATGCTGCCGTGGAGAGTCACCTCTGGATGGCAGCTCCCAGTGCCAGGCAGTGGAAATGAGAGAAGTCACTGGAGAAAACGAGAGAAAAAATTCTCCCCATGATCTCAGACTCAAAACTTTTAACAGAGGACACGTGAAATGGCTCTAAATCGCTCCTTTCCTACTGCCTGCTCCAGCCCCGTTGTTCCGCATGCTGATCTGTCCAAAAGGAGATTGTCAAAGAGCTCCTCTGCTTAATAGCTCTTTCTGCATTTTCTGATTCATTAGTTTTCCTAATATAAATGCTCCCTGCCTGTTCTCAGCAGGGCAATAAAGCCAGGAAAGAGAGCTGTTTCTGAGCACCCTCCCTGGCACGCTGTCACTCGACATGCCTGCCTGCGAGTGTGCCAGGAGCCATCTCAGGGGACAGGGGAGATAATAGCAAACAAAATTCAGTATCTGGCCAGATGCGACTTGGATGGGTCAGTCAGGACTTGGGCTGAGCCATTCCCTCTTGCCATGTTGGAGTTAATGTCCCAGATTTGTTTTCATCCTCTGAGGCAGTTGCTCGGTCCTGGATGCTTAAACTGTGTGGCTGAATCACCCCACACTGAAGGCATCACTGTGCATGAATGTGTGTGTTAAATGTCTACAGAAATGTTTAAACGTGGGAGTTTAAGTCCACTTGTGGATACTGGCATTTGGTGAGTTGGAAGGACACACCACAAAGACATCCTGGTGGAAATGAGCTGTTTATTCCTGATTCGTGTCTTACGAAGAGAGGGCTTCACTGTCCCCATGTTCAGTGTCACCTTGGTAATACTGACACATCCCTCGTTTTGACACCCCTGCTGACTGCCATGCCAGATGAGAAGGTGCAGAAAGGTTGAAATCTATACCAGGAAAAGGGTTGCTGAGAAACTAAATGGAACGCTTTCGCTGCAAATGACTACTCTGCATGGGTACACATGCACCGAGGTGACCATCTCTGCCCTCACGAGGCTATGGAGAGATTCTGCCGCTCAGTAAGCTGTATTTCCCAATCACAGAAGGGAGTTCAAAGATGCTGATATTCCTTGTCATTCTTTTCCTTGTTTATAATAAGAAAATAGATCATATTAGTTTCTCACCAAAGGCTCTTCTCCCACTCATGTTCTCTCTTGGCTGCTCTGATCTCCAATGCAGGTACTGGAATTCCCTGAGGAATCTGGTGGTCTCCCTGCTGAACTCCATGAAGTCCATCATCAGTTTGCTCTTCCTGCTGTTCCTGTTCATTGTGGTGTTTGCTTTGCTGGGGATGCAGCTCTTTGGAGGGCAGTAAGTCTAATTAATCAATGTCCTTTCAGGGGTAATCTGAAAGGAGTCACCTGGAATACCTAAGGGAGAGAGGGGCTGCAGGGCTTGAAAGATGCACATCGTGGGTGTGGATGTCAGTCTTTCTGGGCTGCTGAAAAGTGGTCTCTGGTTTATAGGAAAATAGTTCCTGTTCTGGTGTTTTACCTGGAGCTCAATTTTTTCTAATTACCCTAATTCAAAGCTCCTTTGTCATTCTGTGGTTCCTATGTATACCCGGACCTCTGAAATAGGACTAGGGGGGGCAACACTTTTTCTACTCTTAGGGGAAAGGCAAATTCTTTCCCCGATAGTCAGGGTGACAGTATATTTATTCACTTGGAATATTTTTCTGCTGGAAAACATGGTTTTGTTGAATCTTATTTTTCTCATTAGAAATGCCAGTTGTGATGAATTTTGCAGCAAGAAATATCGCAATATTACCATTTAAACTCCAGCATAAATTTTGAAATGAAATAACATGGGTTTGGTGGTTTGTGGGTTTTTTTTTTTTTTTGCAATCAATCACTACTTTATCTTTAAAATATTAAAATGAAATGACGTACTAAGAGGTCAATTTCAATGTTGACAATTTACACTTGAGGACAAAAAACTGCTTGGAAAGGTTTGTTCTACAAAATGATTTGAGATTTTGATTGTTCATTTTAATTGTGGGTGAAAATTAATTTCAAAGCATCAGAATTTTCTCCAGGAATAAAATTGAGTTTCTGCTAATAGTTCTGTTAAGCATCTCCTCAGAGATGCTGTGTTGCCTGCTGTGGTTGCCTGGGGTGTTATTGCCAGGTGGAACAGATGTTGCTCTCTGACTTGGGTTACAGGGTATTATGAGACTGCATGAGAGCTGCTTGTCCCTTACTGCTCTTGTTTTTATTCTTACTTCTCTCTAGATTCAATTTCCAAGATGAAACACCAACCACAAATTTCGATACCTTCCCGGCCGCCATACTCACAGTATTCCAGGTAAAGCCATACCTTGTCCTGGGTAAGCATTAGAAGATAAATTCCTGGTCATCTCATCCTGTTTATGGAGTGCAAAGAGGTCCCCCCAAATTTGTGGAATTTAGGAAAGGGGAAGTCCTTCCTTCTCGTATTTTGCCACAGTGACCAATCAATGCATCATTAAAAATCAATGCTATGGAATTAAGGAAAACTAAAACAAAAGATTTTTGGCTAGGAAAAAAATATTGATAAAATAGGCATTTCTGTGACAAGTTTAAAGTCTGTGCATGCCCAGGCTCTCTTCTTCTGAGGCCCCTGCTCAGGGTTGCATCCTGCAGTGGCAGAACTTGCGCATGCCCCGTTGCATGAATAGTCCTGTCTGAAATCCTAGACAACGAGTGAGTGGTTGACCTGTTTCACTTTCTCCTGTGGTTGCCATAATTTAATGAGGAGAGAGGCCTGAGCTAGCTCCAGGCAGTAAGGAAATAATGTTGCATTTTGCATGGTAATAGCTCAAGACCAAGATAATGCTGGATAAGAATTACAGTTGATGGGGGAGCATAGAAAGAGGCATCAGCCTTGGGCAAATTCGTGTGATGGCAGGAAGAAGTCGCAGTTCTAGAAGATGCAATGCTCAGATTTAAGAGCCTAATTTTGCAGCTGTTCTCTGCATGCATTTTTAAAACACTTATTTCAGGTGTTTCAGTAGAGAGCTGGGGATGCTGCACCCTGCTCCATGTACAGGTAGCACTCACAGGTCTGTGGAAGACTGACCTGCATTTAGTGTTGCCCTACACAAATTGTTGATGTGGGCTCAAGATGAGACTTGACCCTGGATCTGAACTTTTGTAGATCTCAGCAAGGCTTGGCTTATGTATTTCAGTGTCATGTCCCAAAAAGGGAGGGGGGGAGGTGTTGATGACAATTTTCGGATTAAAACAGAAAAAGAGTCTAAAAGAAAGTATGTCCTGTAACCTCTGCATAAGCAGCTTCGTATGGGTATTGCTTGTCTCCAGATGTGAAGCAGGTTCAGTAGTACTTACCTCGCAGGATATTGCAAATCATGGTAGATTAATATTTGCATAGTATTTTAGTACTCATCAAAGAAAGAGCTTAAAGAAATGTAAAGGTATTGCTACAGAGCCGGAACTGAGCCCAAGTCAGGCTCCGGATATGAGCATCTGGAAATTTTGATGTTATTTTCTTTGGGACTATAGCTGTCTCTTGAGAATACTTAGCTGAAATATTTTCTTTCTATTCCTGAGATAAATATCCCTGTAACATAGCGGCTGTGGGATGAAGGAAAACACTGTTGATTTTATGACATTTGTCTAGGACGTCAGACCAAATTAAAACCAACAAAACCCATCAGCACTGAGTTAACTCAGTGCAGCCTCGCAGAGGCATTTTGATAACCTCTGCTCCCAGTCAGTCCCCTCTTCTCCCCTGAATTGCAAATACTGGGTGAATGTTTCTTCAATACGGGCTTTGGATTCTCTTCTAACCTCGTCTTCCATAAACTCAGGCAAGCCAGCAGGCTTGTTTCATTGCCGCTCTAATGAGCAGAGTAGCATTATTCAGTGAATGCATTTGATGTGTTGAACAAATAGAATAAAGCCAGATACACCCTGTCCATCCCTAACCCCTTTGGAAATTCTTTGTTTAAGAAGAGGTCTCAAAGTCTTCTGCAGCCTGCCTTAGTCCATTTTATTTCAGCAGACCTGGCTGGGTCATGGTCCTCTGTCATGCGACTCCCAGGACCTGTTTCATCCTCCTGGCAGCTGGCTGAACTCTGTCTTGGGTGCAACTGAGTCCCGCTCTCCCTAAATTCCCTTTGAAGAGTATCACGTGTTTTTTTCCAGCTCCTGGCTCCCAAGAAGGTCTTCATGAGCTGAATATATACAAAATACAAACACAAACTATATCTATATATATTCACATATATCTATATACACATGAAAAATAACTGATTGTGTCTCCCTATTCCAGCAATCATTGAGCTGGAAGTGTGTACAACATCCATAAGCGCAGAGACTATAAAGCAGAAAGACATGTGTTAACTATACATGCTCTGCTCCCTGAGACCTGCTACGTAAATAATTACATGCTGCTGGCTGCTAAGAAGCAGAGCACTGCTGACCACTGGAGGAGACAAGGAGTTGCAGTGGCAGGATGGGACCAAACCTTAGCTCTGCTAATGGGTGCTGTGCTGAGGCTTGGGAAGCAGAGCTGGATTCGGTTTGATGCCCTCACTGACCTGCCTGTGAGATATGACAGTGAGCTGACGTGATTTTGCATTTACTCAGGCCCTTCTTCAGGAAAGCATCTCACTTTCAGGACAGCCCTTTGAAATGCTGCGGTACTGTTCCTCCGCAGCTGAGTGTCTCCTACTGTTAAGGTGCTCATTAGTCCATTAAGATTTCACAACAGCTCTTGGTAGCTGTTTTTATTCTTCCTTCACCTGATGGCTCCTCAGCCAATCCTAAGTATTAAATGCTGAGATGCACTGGACAAAATGTTCATTTGGGGCAGCCAAAAGCAGTTTTGGGCCCAGGGAAAACCAAAATGTTTGGGCTTCCCCTTACTCCAAAGTCCTCATTGCTTGTGCCCCTCCCTCTGCAATGCTGTCCTTTTCTCTCCTGTAGCAAGAATTTCTTACAGCGTCCATAAACAGACACTTTATAGAGCAGACAGACTTGTATTTACTGCATGTACTCTGCTCCTTGAGGACTGCTACCTAGCTGCTTAAGTTCCTCCAGGTGATGGGTAATGGCACAAACAGTGGGAAGAACACCAGGTCAAAGTGTCTGTCCTCCTGCCAGGGCCTCAGAGAGCATCCTCAGCTCTGCCCAGGCAGGCTGGTTATTTTAGACTTTTATCTCTCTCTAAAAGTTCCATAAACCATTTTTTTTTCCCTTTAAGTTTTTGTTCCACTTCTAAATTAATCCAGTTGGATTTTTGAACCCAGACCCCAACCTGCTGGACTTGTTTATGTGCAGCCTGTAATTTGTGATGCCTGCGACTCCTGGTCTTCTGCAGGGCAGAGAAGCGTTCCCACTGGTTTCCCTTTCCACGAATGTTTGTGTGAACAGAAATCACTTTATGGTTATTCCCAGAAAGCAGGAACAGTTGTGAATTCATGGAAGTGATGAATGTGAACAGTGCTTTGCATAATTGAGTGCCAGAGTTGAAAGCCTAATGCCCTGGTTCTTGTTCTCTGGTGTAAATTCAGAGTAACTCCAATGGTGTGGGTTAGGCTTGGGCTCTGAATTCTGGTCTCTGAATTGAGAACAGATTCTGCATTTAGGAAACAAGTTTGTGTATGCGCTGTATGTCCTTGTGTCTATACTTGCTCTTAGCATATTGCTGTCATCAGCATCAACCCTTCAGCAAGAAATTTTCTGTCTATTGGCAGCTGACCACTAGTCTGGAATTTGCAATTGTTTTGAGCATACTGTATGCACATGGGACTTGATTACTACAACATGGATCATGCTTTGGGCTTTTTTTAGTTTTTTCTTCTACTAAACACAAAGTCAACTTCCAGTTTAGGAATTTGAGCTTCACATCCCAGTGGGCATGTTTTAATGTACTAAAAGTAACTATTGTTCGACTCTGCCACGGCAGGCAGAGGAAGTGCTGATCTGCCCAAAATGTTGCTGTGTTACAGTCATTGGTGGAGAACAGGAATGGCAGACAATTCAGACTGTGATGCAAAATTAGCAACTAGCATGACAAGGCTTATTTGAGTCTTAGGTGTTTTCAGTTATTGTGATTAGTTTTTCTTTTATTCATGGGTTTGCTAATTAGCCTCAGGTCAGTATCCAGAGCCTCTGGGCAGGACAGCTCTGCAGAGTCAGGCTGCGGTTGTGCTCGCCTTGTACAAGGACAGAGGAGGAACAGATTCCCCTTCAAGCTACCCTCATCTGTTCTCACTCTTAGACATTTGGTTATTGCTTCTGCTTAGGGTTTTTTTTTTGTGGTTTGTCTCCATCTGGGTGGCTGAGGGTCCTGGTGGCCTTGGCAAGGAGGAAACCTGGAGAAGAACCTGTTGCAGTGCAGCTCCCTGGCAAACCTTCCAGTGGTTGTGCTGCCTGGTGCCTGGCATTTGGAGTAACATTCGCGCATGCGCCAGCTGCAGCAAAGCTGTCCGGAGTCCTGAGGAACAGAGGAATAGTGGGAAGGGGGTTGCAAGAATTTCTCCTCCTGTTATGCAGTCACTCGGTGTGTACAGTGTGTGTGAGTTGGCGGGGAGATGAGCAAACTCTTTCTGTATGAAGTGAATGAAAGGAGTTGATGCTGGCAGAAGTCCGGCTCAGGGCACTGGTCTTAGAGGTCAGGGTTTTCTTAGGTCTGTGGGAAATGCCATGCAGGGAGCTGTTGAAAGCTGGTATCTCTGCATGAGTTAAAAATGGAGAGGGGGGAGAAATTTTGCTGGGGGTGAAGCATTGGAATGTGGCTTTTACTGCCTCTGCCTGCACGAGAGCCTTCGGTCAGAGGCGGGCAGCAGGCATATAACCAAGAGGGTACAGGAATGGGGCGACAGTCCTCCCTCACTAGCGGTCCTCACTCCTCCGCCGCCTGTGCCAGAGGAGAAAGCTGCATCCAGCCCAAGGTGAGACCATCCAGGGCTGGGGGGTTGATGTCTAACACTGCAGTCTGCCACACTAATGTGCTCATCCATTTTATCCCCAGAGACCAGTCCTGGATTGCATCAAGCTGCCTCACTCCCCCAGACCTTATCTACTGTGTCTTTCCTTTGAGTCACCCTTTCTTCTTCCTTCTTGAATTTCTCTGGGCAGATCCTGACGGGGGAAGACTGGAACGCAGTGATGTACCACGGGATAGAGTCACAGGGTGGTGTCCGCTCGGGGATGTTCTCCTCCATTTACTTCATCGTCCTGACGTTGTTCGGTAACTGTATCCTTACACATTGCCTTGTGTTCATGGCACAGTGTGCCATGCACCCTTCCTGGGGTGCTAGAAATACCTAGTTTTGTTTAAATTCTCACACCCTCACTTAGAGTTTTTAAAATCAAATCATTGCTATAACTTTGTTCCTTACAGCACCTGGGGTAAGAGGCGTAGCTAAGTTGTCCATGTTGGTGTCACTTTTCTGATGACAATGTGAGCATTGTCTTCATTCATTTTTAATTTTCATGTTTTAATTTAAGAATGTCCTATTATGAGTTAACTTATATTGTGGGAAGAACGATTGAAGTCAAGTCAGAGCAGGACCTCTGTACCTTGAATATCTTCACAGATAGTTTGCACTAGGTCAGGGGAAGGAAGAGTTGAAATTGGTTTGGTGCATAGATCAGGGTCCAGTCTCTTGGTGCCTTTGTCTACATGGCAGCTTAACGAACGATGCTATTGCAAATGCTTGAAATTGTCTTGTCTCCACGTAATGCTTAAAACTTAAGTCCCAATCTTGGGTTTCAGGCTCTGGGAGTATTTGGTCATGTTCCAAGGCCTGACACATGAAGTCTCTGAGGATATTTTGTTCTGCTTAATCATGAGAATATCTTGAGGGCAACAGGAAACTGGGAGCTTGCATCCCCCCAAAATGTCCCAGGGTGTCTGCTGGGGAACCAGCAGCACTCTGATGTGTGTTACGCCCCCAGAGAGGTCTAAGGAGGCAAGAACATAGCAGTCACATGGAGACAGGATTTGGAAGGGGAGGTTGTATTTTATACAGAAATGAGTAAAGAGATTCTCTGATCTAATGGCTCGGTGTGATTAGGAGAGCCTGCAGAGCATAGTAGCTGTGATGGCTCTGCCCCTGCTTCACAATGGAGTCTGCTGATAGGCTGATGTTGCATAGCATTGCTCACATTAGCTAGGTACAAAACTGTTGGTGTGAGATGTTTGCTGGCTGCAGTGACAAGCTGTATGAAGTCAAACAAAACATCCTTAAAAATGGAAACTAAAACCTGTTGCATATATGACACAGCCTGGCTGGTTTGTTTCCTCTGCAAAATAGGGATGATAGCACTGAGCGTCGCTGCTCTGCTTGAGAGCTCTCTGGAGGGTTTCCCAGCAGTATGGACCTTCTTGGTAGTTACAGTCCCAGCTTTTGTCTTTTCCTAGGAGTCCTGTTTGGGCTGGCATCATCAGCTGGGTACCTAGGAGAAAGGGGAGGGTACATGTGGGGCAGCGCTTGTGCTAAAGACGTACAGTTGTTATAGACATAGACCCCTTCAGCTGGTGGTCAAGATGACAAGAGATGAGACATCAGCACCCATGGACTGCGTGGCAGGGCTCTGGCCCTTTGCTTTGTCTGAAATCTCTCCATTAGCATGAGGAACTGAGACAGGGAACAGTGGAGCAGATGGCACGTGAGCTGTGCTTGTCACACAAGTGTGTCTCTGTGGGATTTATCCCATTAACGTGCGCTGTCAGAGCCGGAGCAGCCGTGATGCCTGGGCTGGCTCGGCAGCTATGCTCAGACATCCGCCTCGTGGCAGGCAACATGCCCCCTTCCAGAAACACAAGGCTTTGGAAAACTGGGTCAATGGAGAGCTGGGAGGGAGGGAGATCTCTAAATCCTCAGGGCTTGGCATTTGAAAATGAGATTAAGCTATAATCAGGCTTGACAGCAGAGCTGAGAGAGAGACCTTTAACCTTAGAGCAGCTAAGATCCAGCATTTTTGAGGAACAGAATATAAATTCCCTTCTTGCACCTTTAATTCAGAGGGGGCTTCTCCCTTGTCCTTTACTTTTCATTAAAAGGGAAAGAGCAGGGGATGTTCAAGAGGAGGGAATAAGGACCTGGTTCACCTATTGCCACTGCCATGAATTTGGCATTTGCCTCTGCTTGCCCTGGCAGAACGGTGAGTTGAAACCTTGCCCACATTTTCACCAAATAGCATCCTGGCAGAGGGCAGCTGTCTTGCTTTCCCTTCTGTTGTCCTGCTGAGGAGATCCAGGAGATGGCTTTCCTGGCTGCCTCCCTGGGGCCATCTTCAGTGCCTCTCTCATCCCCTTTGCCCACAGTCGTATGCTGGTGGTACACCTTTAGCGCAGCCAGAGTGCTCCTTGGGGCACTACCTGTGCATTTAGCAAGGAGGGTATGTCAGCGAGTGATTCTTTAATTCTCCATGAGTCCTGCAGATGGGGATGAGTTTGCTGTAGATGAGTTTCTATAAACACAAAGTACAGAGAGAGGGGAGAGTTGGCTGACAAAGAGTAACAATACTCAGAAACCCTTTTATAATGTTCTAGAAGACTTCTTTCACCAGCTTCTACTGATCAGAGTTATAAACCTGAAACGAATCTATTAATTTCTATGGAGATTTACATTGCTGTTGGAGAATTAGAGAACTGGCCCAGATTGTCTCTGTAGAAACTTAGTCTGAGAGCATCAGCTGCTTTCACAAAGAGCACATAAGAGCCTTTCTGCATTGCACACAGACCTGTTTGCCTTTAAGCACTGTGTGCAGGAGGGGAGAACTAGGCTGGAGTGTGTGGTGGAGGATGAGGGGTTAAATCTTTTCCTTGTCTGTTTACTGTGGGAATTGCAGCAGTAAGCCCACTAATGCTTGCACTGATATTTCAAACAGTAGTTCTGTAAGGTCAGTGCTACCCTTGCTTTTCACTAGCTACAGTTTTGATGCTGAGAGCAAGCAGCAGGCAGTCATTTATCTCTGAGGGAAAGCTGAACTGTATGACTTATCAGGGACTTAAGTTATCATTAACTGTCAAAACATAACCAGGAACATCTGAAAATAAAGTTTAGTTTGCCAGAAAAGAACAATCCTACATTTTTGCAGGAAGTAAGATAGTCATTAATGTCAATGGTGCTGCAGTGCCCCAGCGATGTTAAGGACAGGCAAGTGTACAGGGTGAGGTAGTGAGGTACATGTCTGAGCCTCAGGTTCACCTTCCCAAGGACAGCCCCACAGCCCAGCAAACACCATGAGGACACACTGTAGAGAGCAGTCCAAGTTGTTGATTAGCTTACTTATAGATTAATGTGAACTGTCTTTTCTGCTCTAACTTGGGACTTTACAAATATCTCCCCCCTCTGCCTTACAGAACTCCCTCCAAAAAGCTTTAAAAATGTACTACTTTTATGTAGTGGATTTTTTTCATTTGTCAAGTGTGGATTTGCCACCAGTCCTCCCCACACAGACGTTCACTGCGACTGAATTTCTTAAGTGGGACTTTTCGTTTTTATTTTCTTGTATCACTCCATTGAAATCAGTCTAAGCCGTTCTGGATGCTGATCAGCAAAAGGCACTTTGGTTCCTCTGCTGGGAGGGGTTTTATCTTTGGTTTTTGAACATTGACATTTGGTGAGTCCATTTTTAAGAGCTTAGGCAAACTGGATCAAACCTTGTTAGAGAATTGGCATTGGCAATTTTGAGTCAGCTTGCAAAACCTTCTCTTTTTAAACATGAGGGACTCCTTTCTTCTCCCAGAGCTGCTCAGGGCATTGTGATTACTCTTTTTCATGAAGAAGAAAGATGGATGGGTGCCGGCTTCCCCTGCTTCTCACTGCAGCTCAGTTGTTTCTTTGAATCCATTTACGTTTTCAAGGGACTAATGCAAGGAAAAGATCCAGAAACTGTTTTTGTAAGTCAGAAGTCTCTCACATTACTTTCCCAGTTCCAGAAAGTCTGTGTAGAGCCAGACGTCCGCGTCTGATATGGTTTAATGAAAGTAGTATGATTAATATAACAGCAGGATTTGGCCCATTTTCTAGGAAATTACACCATGCCTGTATTCATTGTTACCCAGTTAATTGATAAATTGATGCATCTGTTAGGAAAAAAAATATGAAAAAAACCCATGAAAAACTGCAGAGGAGCCTGAAATGAAAAGCAGCAAATGTCTGGAGCATGCTGCCCTTTCCCCTTGCCCTTAGCTTCCATGCAGGAGGGCTGTACTCGGCACCAGCTGCTGGCTCAGCTGGCCAGCGAGGTCCTTGGGTCTGCCCAGGTTATACAGCCTGGACCACAGGCTGGAGTTTGGGTAGTATTTGGGAATCCCCATGCTCTGCAGAAAGGGCTGAGGGACCTTTTTTGGGGCAGAAACACCCAAGTCTGCCAGATTGTGTCTGCTTGGAGATGGATCAGAACAGCCTGATCTGTAAAAAAAAAAAAATAAAAAAAAAAAATTAATTATATTTCCAGTGGTTGATTATATTACATGAAACATTTTCAGCATGTGTGTGTAGGAGGCAGGGGTAGGAAGACAGTTTTATTACCGAGACATTTATTCCCAGAGCAGGAGGCTTGGAAGCATTTCCAAAGTATTGGAAGCACCCCAGAGGAAGAAACCCAAACAGCTGGCACCCCGGCAGTGCCGTGGGCAGCGGTACCTCAGGCAGCGATGCCTCAGCCTTCCTGCCTGCACCCCCAGCCTGCAAGCGACAGGCTTACCCCCTCTTGCCAACCCTCAGCTAAAAGGAAACTGGGAAATTAGTATCTTTGCAAATGAAAAGTTGATTGAGTTCTGACTTCAGTGTGGGAAGGAGGTGATCATTTCAGCATCATCTTTCCCTTTTTCTTGTTCTTTATCTGCTGGGCTCATGGGGATTGAGGTGCTCCCACCCCACGCTCCTCACTGTCCTGCTGGAACAGAGGAAGGAGAAATTGATGGGCATCACATTTCAAACCTCTGTCTGTCCCAGAGGAATCATCTTCACATGATAAAAACCTCCATCCCATGTTACATGACATGGAGAAAACCTGATGGATGACCTGGCCTTCACCTGGAGAAACCCCAGGCCTCTATGTCCCATCCCTTGCAGGGTTTGGCAGTCAGGATGCAAATGCATCTGAGAGATTAAATACTACTGCTTTCCACCAGCACAAGCAGAGGCTCCAGTTTTGATAGGCGTTCAGGCTCTGGAGACACTCATCTCAATGGGAATTAGAGGTCAGCATCTGAAGTCTTGCCGGAATTATGTTTGGTAAAAGCTCTTGAGAGGGAAAGCAAAGAGGCTTTGAGCTGGTTGTTTGGGCCAACTTTGGTCCCTGGCTGCCCTGGGAAGCCTCCTGATGCAACGCCAACATGGGGCAACGGCTCCACAGCTGGCAGTGCCTGCAGCCAGCGTGCTGCCTGGCGACTGCTAGAGTACAGGGATTTCTGGGCACGCTTGTGTTCGGCAGAGACGACTGTGGCCGATGAATCAGCCTTGCACCACTCCTGGCTCCTCTGTTTGTAGAGAAACCTCAGATGCCTCCTCCAGGCATCCTTGTGAGGAATGGAAAGCAATCAGAGGGGCACAGAGGCCAGGGTTTCCCAAAATCTCATTGCAGGTTTGCCAGCACCCTGGGAGCCCATGCCTCACCTCTCCTCCCCTGGCTAGAGCGATTGCCTCGCTCCCCCCAGCACGCTGCCCTCATCCCTCAGTCCTGCCTTCGCTGTGCCATTGCTTTGGGCGTTGCTTCCGACTCAAAGTCCAAAACAGGGTACCCATTAACCCAACAGAAAATAACTGGATTAGTTGTCTAAAACTGCTGCAGTCATTTCATTCAGCTTATGGGGACCTGCATCTGGTCCCAGGATCATATTTGGCTCTGATGAGGGCAGTACAATACAAACACAGTAGCAGTGCATTGCTGTTAAAGCCTTGGTGAATCTCCAGACGGTAAATACTCATGAGATCAACTTCATTCTCATGTACATTCATATTTAGAGGAGCAATCATAGCTTTACACAGCTATGGAGTGAGCGACTGTCCTGTCACCAGGTAATGTGCAAGAACAAAGTGCATTTTCTTCTTTGAGAGTAGTTTAGACTTGGTTTTGCTTTGCTTGCTCTCCTTTCATATGCAAAGGTATCTGATTTACAGTTGTTTTGGGGCTGTTTTGCAGACGCATAGCTGGAATAACAGCAATAAAATATATGAAGGGAGAAGTAATAGCCGAAATCATTAAGTAGAAAAACAAAAATAAAATATGAATAAATAATTATAGGGAAATATTATGTCTTAGTGATATAATGCAGTGCTCTTGAGAGAGACCCAGGCTAGCGTGGGCACTGGTGGTTTTTTAGCTGGGCTACACGCAATTTGGCCTGGACTAACAGCCCATTTCCCGGCAGAGCTCATTACCTCGGGCTGGGTGTCCTGCTAACAGGCTCTTCTGTAGTTGTGCTCTGCGTGGTGCTGCAGCATTCAGGATAGAGGATGTCCGAGGCGGTCTAATTGTCATATCGACTTCAGTGTGATAAGTCATGATAGTTTCCTCCCACCAGTATGTAATGCAGCAGTGACCTAAGCTTAACTTTTTCGTGGTACCAAATACCTTTATATAGTTCTATGTATATATTATGCAAATGTTGGCTTTCAAATGACCGATTTCCAGGAGCTCTACCGGTTGTCCTTTTAAACAAGATGGAAAAATTGAAGGTGAAATCCTCTGTGTGTGTATGGGCAGGAGTGTAGGTGTGGGTTTTCTGGAATGAAAAAACAGGGGCTGTTGTGTCTCTAGGACCACCCTGTGGTCCCATACCGGTTGCAGCTCTAGTGTTGTAAAGCCCCCCTGCTCAGCTCCTGTGTGTATCCTCACCAGGGATGTGTGCTGGGCAAGAGACAAACAGGTGTCCAGCACCTGCTGTGCTGCAGAGCTGGCTCCCAGCAGAAGTGGGTGAGTTAGAAATGAAGACAAAACAGTGGTGCAAGGGGTCAATCCATAATATACTGGTGATTGTAAGTGGGGAAAGAAGGGTAGTGGCAGCAGAAGGGGAACAGTTTGCTGTATCTGCTGTGTGAAGATTTTTTCCTTAGCTCCCCAAAAGATACGCTCCTGAATGTCTTCTTGGCTATTGCTGTTGACAATCTGGCAAATGCCCAAGAGCTGACCAAGGTATGTATGAAATTTCTGTTTCTTCAAACTTAGACCACAGCTGCTGGATCTAAAGCACACGTTACCCACCCTTCCAGACACCCTGAGATTTCCTCTAGAGCCTGTTTGTGCGGTATCTCTTTTTACCAGTTTGCATTGCAGAGAGGGACCTGGAGGTTTATTCTTGTTCAGGTTTGTTTCATTTCAGGCTTGTTTCAGTGAACTATTTCATGTTCTTTAGTTTTGTTTTATCACAGAGTGGGCAATTGCTCATCTCGCTGCTGCACAGAGGTGCACAGGCATTCGTAGCATTTGCTGTTTTCAAGAGGCAAAGCCATTACCGGGTTTTGGCTGACTTGAAGCTTAGACATGGAGAAACGCAGGTGTTGTGTTGCTGCTTTTGCTGTCTCATACTAATGTTTCATACCTTGCTGAGTTTTGGGATGAATCAAAGAACTAATGTTCTCCGATCAACTCCCTGGAAAACAACTTGCAGAGGCTATTGTGAATACTCAGTGAAGATGTTACAATCTTACTGCCTCTCACGGGGTGCAAGAGAAATCAGAAATCTGAGACACCAGCCCAAGTGCAGGCAGAAAGCCAGGTCCTGGCAAGAGATGGAAATGACACCGATGTAACTTTACTGTATGCACAGATTTATATTGGAGCATTTCCTATAGAGAAAAACTTACAGCCTCAGTATTGAGCAGGAAGGATTGCAAGTGCTGTAGTTTGTATTTGTATTATTACATACTTTTGATTTCTCATTGTAGCATACTCAGTTGTATTTATGAGGCAGCATTAGATTTTTTTTGCACGTTTCTAGCTTGTTCTTGCTGAGTGGATAAAAACATGCACACCCTATTGCTGTGCTGCTGCCATCACCATAAGTCACAGTGACCTGCCAGTGGCAAAAGCAGCACTGTACCCACTTTAGCAGTTGTATTTTACAAGTTTTAGCTTACATACTCCTTATAAGGTATGAGGATCACTAACCATGTGCTTATGCGGCAGTGGGCAAGGATGTTTTCTGTTTTTAGAGTTGTAGAAAGGTGCAGTAGTTCATGGATACATGTTGCAACTCCACAGTTCGGGGACACAGAGATTTCTAGGAGTTTACTACTGCACTCCAGCTGCTGAAGACCAAAGCAGCCAACCATTCCCAGTTAAAATCCACATCTCTGTTGCAGCTGAGGTTGTCTTTACCAGCTCTCCTTTTCTGCTGTGGAGCTGCATGACTGGCTTCATCTTCCAGCTTTGACTGGAGCCTTGTTTTCTGACAGCTGATATCCAGTGCAGACCGTACAAGAACGCTGGTGGCTCTCAGGTGTATAATAAATGTTCCTGTGTCTCTGAGACCATGTTCTGCATCTCTCCTCTCTTATAATGCAGCTCAGGGCTGTGTTTAACGGCTCTCAGTGTTTTTTTTGGGGGGGGAAGTTTTTCCCTTACAGCAGCTCAGCTGTTTCTATTCTTTCTAAAGCCCACAGAAATCTCCAGCCCGGAGGCATGCATCCTCCCAGCCTGTTCAGCAGATTTACGGGCATCCCTTCCATGTGCTAAGAGAGGGGATCAAGCCCAGCACAATTCTTGGATAATGAAGCTCATCCTACTTCTTTCTTAATCCTTTTAGTGCTTTCTTGTGAATATTTCAGCAGCTGACTGGGGTGGTTAGAAACCTGACTTTGTTGATGTTTATAAAGTATAATTAAATATTGATGGATTCAGCAGCATTGCCAAATCATAAAGCTTCTTGAGAAACTCTTCTTTGCTTTAATTTTATTTATGATCCCCCAAAATCACTAGGGCTTTCAGAAGAAGAGGAAAAAGATAAAAGTAATTCAATTATATAGTATACCTGGAGAATGAGGGATTTATTGCTGAGTAAATATGATCATTCAAAACCAAAAATGGCCTGGAGATATAATTAAGTTACTCAGGAGTCAGTTGATCTCAGGAGACTTTCTTGACATTTACACTGTAAAACGAATTGAGATCAGTGCTGCATATAACGTGGGAAAACCATAACCAGTTTGCAACTCCCTCTGTTCTGGAAAGACAGAAAGCTTTCTAGCTAACCTTCAGGACTGAAACATTTGAACCAACATTTCCACTTCTGGATGCCAATTTGGACTTCTTTTATCATGGCATTTTAACATTTCTTGGTAGCCTTAGCTGGGCCTTATGACCTGTAACAGAAGTTATCCGAATTGTAACTATATTTAATTTAAGCTTGATCATCCTATGTCTGTTACAAAACTCACCAGTACTTTGGAATGACTCATTGCGGGGGGGGGGAGGGGGAAGAATCACCTTCTTTGCTTTGAATATGTAAAGAACCTGTTCTCTAGCCTCAGCTTCTCCCTCCCCAGGTCTCTTTCCTCCTCTTCCTGTGCTGGCTCTCCCTTACCACTGACTTAAACTCTGCCAACTTAATTTCTAGTGATTTCTCAGAGCTGTCCTGAATCTCTTTGGGTTGCCTACCCTCCAGTTTCTCCCATATATTGGGAAGTTTTTCTTCCTGTTCACTTATTCAGAGTGGAATCTAAAATTGCCCCCAAAATTTGCTTTTAAAAATCTTCTTTCTGCTGACCATCCCACAATGTCTCCAGTGACACACGGCAGTTCGTTCTTCATCCTCATTAAACTGCCATTTTACTGCCATACTGTCATACTGCCACAAGTAAGCCTTTATTTTCCTAAATATCCTAAAGTACAAAGTGTGTTCTCTGATCTCTGTGCACTGCCAGCAGTCCCTGAGAAAGCAGTACAAAAACATGCAATGTGAGGTAGGAGGGATGTGTGAATTTTACATAAAAATATATAAATATATCTAAAAGACATAAAAGAAGTTGAGAAATCCCCAGAAATAATGGGCTGAAGTGAGCAGCGAAACCAAGAGTGTAACAGCCATGAAGACCTGTCCTCCTCCTTCCCAATGGAGAGGGCTTTAATTGGGTGAACTTAATAAAGAACAGTCAATGTTAACGATGCACATCATTATGGGGTAGCACCGAAAATGGGTTTTACCATGTGATAAATTGTGTGGTTGTTGTGGTTTAACTCCAGCCAGCAACTAAGCACCACACAGCTGCTCACTTACCCTCCCCCCCCCCCCCCCGCGGGGTGGGGGGGGAA